TGGAAAGCTATGGAATCAGAATAATTCCCGGGGTTGCCGAGGCTCGCTGATGGCTATCAACGACGTAGAGTGCAGCAGTTGGCAGATAGCGTAGCGCTGCAGGCGCGCGGCCGGGCAGACGTTCTAGATGGTTCACAAGCAGGCACGGATCCTGAACCTTCCTGGGATGATTCGCCATCAGGCCATTGACTTTCGAGACGCTAGCTGCAAGTCGCCCTTAGATGAGGGTTCGCGAGCTTTGACACGAGCTTTCATGCGGGCTTACCTTTAGAGGCGCTACATTGAAACGATGGAAATGTTAGCAGATGTGCAGTGTGTACTAAAATAGTTGAAGCGAGGGCGAAGAAGCACCGTAATTCAAGCGCTTGCTTGTCTGGAGCTTAGCTTTCGTGGACACAGGCAACACACATTTGAACCCCGACACGGACACGGGCACAGCTAAGAAGCATAGAAGAGGAGAAGGCTTGTTGCAGCGGATGTTCCATGATTAAAATTAGATTGGGGTAGATTGGGGTAGATTGAGAGTAGATTGAGTGGAAGGTGAGGGGGAAAGTTGCAAGTGTGGAAATGGAAAGAAACGTGGGGTGAGTCGTCATCCAGTGATCGACCCCCACTTCTCCAGCCTTGAGCCTTCCATCTCCTCCCACTTTGGTTATCACAACCACAACAACAATTGGTTCGAGATAAGCATCTCCCCGCCTTCAGTCGCTGTAACGAAACATGTATCTCAATTATTATGACTTCGAGGCTCTCTCAAATCGACTTTGAGATGTTTCGCAACACGCAGCGTTCTTCTGGAAACTTCTACTTCGTTCGTGTTGTTCTCCGCGTGACCGATTCCGAACCACAATCAATGCGAGAACGACCAAGCCTATCATCCAACGACTACCTTACTCTGCACCTAGAGAAGACTTCATCGATGCCCTAAAACGAGATGGGTGTGTGATAGTCCAGGGCTTTACCACATTGGAAACGTTAGAGGAAGCAAGGCAGGAAGTTCAACCATGGCTGGAAAAAGAAGAACAACGGAGCAAGCTGGGTGGTGAGCCGATCGCACCAGAGATTGCCATCAACTAGATAGCCTGACAGACAACAGCCCTCAATGGCGGAACTCGCACTTGTACACGTCTTATCGGACGCAGCAAGACCGTGCGCGAGAAATTCTTCTCCGATCAGTTGTACCAGGTAAGACAGATCCTGCCACGCCCAGAACTTGTCCTAAGATATTGGCAGGACCTAGCCGAAGAGTTCCTCGCGATCACGACAACCAGCTGGTACGGCGACGAGCCGTCTACCAACACTACCCAACCGCTCCTTTCGATCGCCATCACAATGGAAATCCGACCAGGGGCGAACGCGCAGAAGCTTCATCGCGACGACAAGAACCATCATGCCAGACATGCTCGTGTTGATGCGTACCACGCGAACCGCGACATGCTTCTCGGCTTGTTTGTTCCCGGGTGCGATACTCGTCGTGCGAATGGAGCCACGCGTGTGGTCCCGGGTAGCCACCTTTGGGGCGATGAGATGCCGGACTTTGGCCCTAATGGCGAGACAGGTCTTGTCGACGCTGCGCTGCAGGCCGGCGAAGCTATGATCATGTTGGGCAGTCTCTACCATGGAGGCGGGGAGTTCTTCGAGTCTTCAGGAGGACGAATGATGCACATTATGTTCATGTGCAGCGGGATTTATCGCCAGGAGGTAGGTCGAAAAGTGCTTTGCTCCACGAGTGAGTGACTGACCCTGAAGTCAACAGGAGATATCGTACCTTTCGTATCCGATTGAGGATGTGCGGACATACTCAAAGTTGGTGCAACAGCGGTTGGGTTGGAAGCAATCCGAGCCGAACCTGGGATGGGTCGATCTTATCTCTCCTGATGCCTTGTTGTGATGACTTACACCGCTTGGAGTGTCTTTGGGTAACCGCGTAAGGAATCAGACTTGTCAGTTATATCTGGGCAGTTCATTGGAGTAGCTAGGTATGTTAATGTAGCTTACGTGAACCTAGCTTGGTTAAGAGATGCGATCCTGCGCCTGGCGCTCTAGTACGCTCGGGACTAGATTCAACTGTATTGCGCCCTATGCAGGGAAGACACAGACCTTCATTTCATATCCCAGACTAACCTACTTTAGACTCTTGGCGAGCATCGGGCGTGGAGAAGATGCATTGAGCAACGCCTCAGCTACCAACACTCCTCAGGCCACTGCGCCCACATGCATATAATCCGCTCGCATTGAGTCAAGGCATTTTCATGGCAAGAACGAATCTGCAAGATGATGTGGTAATTATTAGAACAAAATACATAAATAGACTATCAAGAAAAATAGCATGGGCCATAAACATCGCCAAATAAGCATTCACTCCCAGCAAGTGTAATCCGGGAAGTAGCGGTCATGAATGCGCCGTGCATACTCCACCACCACAGGCAAGCTTTTCAAGATCGCCTGAGTCTCCGGACAGCTGGACACGATAGATTAGAATTGGCGGGATGCCAAAGGTCAAGAAGACTTACGCAGAGCAAACCAAAGACCCAGCCAGAAACCCAAACAAGACCGCGTCGGCCTCAGTCGGCTCCTCGCCGCCCAGCACCCAGAACGGCCCATCACCCTGCTTCTGCGCCTTGCGGGACACCAGCAGCTCGCTTATACTTGTCCAAACCTCCTCCTTGAATCCTTTTAGCTCCTCCAACGAGAACCGCAGGGTGCCCTGGTTGTACAGCATCTCCCTCTGTCTCCGGTAGATGTAGTATCCCACCGCGACCTTAACCGGGTACGGCAGCGCGCTCAGGGCGTGTTTTCGCATCTCGTAGTAGTTCTCGATCCACTTCTCGTGGTTCTGTCGACCGAATCAGCTTCTCGAACCGTGTAGGCAATCCGTGAGGGAAGAAAAGCGGAAGTGTACCAGATAGAAATACAACCGGTCCTCCAACAACGCCCTCACTCCAGCATCCAGCACTGTCTTCTCCGCATCGAGATCGCGATTAAGGTCACTGATTAGACCATCCTCAATGAATCCTCGAGTGATCAGAGCTGAGTCCGAGATGGTAGTCTTTGCGCCTGTCGTCCGGTCCGTGATATCGACGTATGGAATCTTACCCCGCGGGCTGCCGAGCGGTGACCCGGCGTCCGTGCGATACGAGATCCCCGCAAAGCGCAGACGAGCTTCGAGCTTCGTGACGAAGGGGGACCAGGTGTATTTCCCGGGCCAGGGGAAGCCACGGTAGAGCGTGATTTCGGGGGCTTGGTTGGATGCCATCGTGATGTGTGGGTTGTGTTGCGGAGAGGTGGAAGAAGTAAGCTTTAGTCGTCTTTGTTGCTGGGTTGTTGGGCGTCTTATAGTCGGGCGCCTAAAGTCCGCAGGTGTCGAGAAGGATCGAAGGATCGCGTAGTCTCTGTTCGCTTGGGATATGGAACAAGCGAAGAGATCTTAGCGGCAAATTGAAGTGGTTACTATTTAGTTAGCCTTCTCTTAGCTTTGAAGTCAGGATGTAGTAGAATGTCTATTGTTGGAGGACAGTGTGCATTTGTTGGTGGTTGCCTAAGGCTAGTGGGTGTTGCCTTGACGCTAGTGTTGCTTTATGTTAGTAACTTGGTTTCTTGCAAGTATCCATCCACCTTGGTTGGTATAGTCTTCATCCTTCTACACATTCTTCGTGTGAACTTAATGATTGGAGCTTTCAGATTTCAGATCTGAGTTGAGTCGTGTCGGTGCACTCGCAGGAGATATATGATTATGCTCGTTCCGTTCCCCTTCTTGGTGACATGGGCCGACCGGGCGCATGCAGGCCCGAGCGGAAGACTGAAGTATACTCGGCTTCAGCCAGCCCGGTTCCACCAACTCAGCTCCACAGACAATCATCTTTCGAGGATATACGCGAGAGCCAAATATGTCATCCATCACCCATGATAGGAGTCATTGCAGTCTGATAGCTGGCGCATAGTTCGATCAACCGAACGGGCAAGCTTTACCGACGACAATACAGCCTAGGCCGAGCAAATAAAGCGTCCCAGCTTGCCATGTGAGTATTCGACGAAGTCGCAAAACAGACACTATCTAGTTCTTACCATGGCTTGTCTTAGTGATCTACCACTTGAGATAATCTAGATTCTTCTCCAGGTTTGCTTGGAACTATTATCATTCATAGTTATTTACTGAATCGCATTAGGTGCTCAGCAAAGCAGATCTCCTATCCTTCCGTCTCGTCTGTTGCCAGCTCTCCATCATCACAGCGCCCTATATTGATGAACACCTCATCCGCGAGATTCACGAAGGCATACACTATCATCTCCATCAAGCGGCAACCACACCCCTCCACACAGCTCTTCTCCAAAGACTCCTCCGTTGTGGTGCCCTAGTCAACCACCGTAACGACACTGGCGAAACCACCCTTCATGTCGCAGCTCGCTATGGAAACCTGCAAGCCGTATCTCTTCTACTACACTCCGGTGCTGAGATCGACGCAGCAACCTTCCACGACTGGACACCACTCCATCTCGCCTGCCGCTACGGTCATGCAGACATAACCCAGTTCCTCATCTCTCACGGCGCAAATGTCAACAAACCCGGATTTCAAGGATGGACGGCCCTCCACTATGCCGAACGGGAAGGCCACGCGGACTGTGCTCTCGTTCTCCAAACAGCGGGTGCAGAAAGCCCCAAGCCCCGGAAGTGCGCTGCGAAGCGTTTGCATGACTGGTGGGGAGTTTACACCCTCTGACCAACCGCGAAACACGCTAGAGTTGTTTGATGGGATCAATCAGCGGCGGGGAGGGGCTTGCCCATTCGCAATCTTGTGCTATGGAGCTTGATGAAATCTAGCCCTCAAAACCCTAGAGATTACGATGGAACAAATCGCGGTATTGTGACTAGACAGGCTCGACTGTACCGGCATAAACACCTGGAATTGCATAGAGACCAAGACTAAAGACAATATAAGTTACGCGCGCAACAGAAAAAGCCAATCAATCGACCATGCTGATTCGTGGGCGTTTCAGCCCACTAGCAGGGGTCTCTGCACGTTGCTAGGCCTCAGCGCACAGCCTCGCTCTAGCCGCTAAGCAGCCTACCTATTTTTTCCGAAAGCCCCTCTTCCATGCCTCCTGATCTCTTGTGAACATCATCTCTCGTGAACATAATCTCTCATGAACAAAGGGAAGTCTTGAAGGTTACATTAAGCATGGCGGCCGCGTTGCACTGTCCTTCGAGACCCAAAACGGTGGCAGAGATCACATCTCGGCTAGGCAATTCCGCATGCGACGAAAAAGAAAAATCGGCGTTGCGTGCTTTGATCTCGCAAATGGTCGGCCGATTTCGTGACAAGAGCCGTCCAAGTTACTATGTTGAAGCGTCACGTCTGTCACGAGCCACGACTCAGAAACAATACCACCACTTGTCACAGGTCTTCTCGCGGGCGATCGTGGACAACGCCGAAAAGGGTAATGCACTTGACGGGGATCTTCTCCCTAGCTTCGTCTTTCTCCTTTGGAATAAGCCGCAAGGTTACTCGCGCAATGGGATTTATGCGGCAGTCAATGCATTGCGTGAGAGGCTGGACTACAAAATCCGCGAGAATGCATTGGAAGCTCAATACCTTCTGTGCTATACGCTCGGCGTCTTGCTCGACATCGCAGTCGATATCAAAGCATCCGAAATCGACAAAGATTCCCTACGGGATCCACTTCTCAAACTACTTGCGGATTTGAAGGATCATGATGAGCCACGCTTGGCTCAAGCGGCAGCCTACGCGTACGAAGCGCTCAGAGGTATTTCAGACAATCAAGGTCCCTGGGATATCTTCTGGAGCAACAGTTGGAGGGTCATTGCAGTGGCTGCAAGAACTGCCGGGGCTGTCTCAACTATGAACCCAGAAAGGCTACTGGAGGCGGGGCCAGACTTGATGGAACTTTTGGAATTCCTGAAAAAAATCTATGATGCGGGCAAAGACCTAGTTGAAGCTATTAAAGAGATGGATGAAGTGTTTGTTGAGAACATACGAAGACTTCCAAATCAAAGGCTCTGGTATGGCATACTTCGGTACACTAGTATGCTTATTATGGCTGGCGGCAACTCATTTGACACCCTTGAACACATATTACCTAAGGTCCCCTGTTGGGATAGCTGGCAGTTCTGGTGCGGATTGTATGCCCAACTCGAACAAGGCTTCTTGTTGAAAGGTCAACGGGAAAAAAGTCGGATCATCCGAGTTGTCAACGTAACATTCGACCTGAAATCTTTGCAGGAAATAAAGGCAAAGAGTTTGCGTGTTCGGCAGTGGATCAACCTGATTTCAGAGACGTTTGATCAAAAAGGATGGAAACAGTCCTTACCAAGAGCCCGAAAATCCTTTCCGTTCCGCTTTTTGAAAAAACTAGAGTGCGAACCGCAAGTGAGGAAGCCTTTTGACCCGAATATGGCAGCAGCTATCGGTGGCAGCTTGTTGGAAGATGCGTGGCACGAGTGCAAGGAGGCGCAAAGGTTCTATGCCGATGCCGCGTTGATGGAATATTATTTGCAACAGGACCGGCTAAAGATACTACGTCTCTCAAACGACACTCTGGACATCAAAAATTGCTACATTAATCTTGGAATTGTCGAACATTCCCTAGACCGACAACACCAGGAAGCCTTCGAACTACCCCTCCAGAGGCGTCTAAGGGTTGAAGCACCGGGCGAGGGGGAAGCACTTGAATTACAAGAACTTTTTGATGCCCGTAAGCTAAGAAGCCACGTTGATTCTCCCGATGTCCAGTCAGAAGCTCCAAGACGTATTCTGATTAGAGGTCGTGCTGGAGTCGGAAAGACAACGTTATGCAAGAAGATCGTTCACGACTTCATCAATGCCAACTTTCCCCGGTGGAAGTTTGAACGGGTGCTTTGGATACCCTTGCGGAAGCTAAAAGACAAGCCTACTCTAGATCAGTTCCTTTGTCATGAAACTTGGTCGAATCACCGCGAGAAAGACCATTTCATCTCTGCTCTTCTGGGAACAATATATGATCAAACAGACAACAAGACTCTTCTGTTGCTGGACGGCTTCGATGAGATAGTTGGCGCGAAGACTCCCAGTGGAGATCTTGTCAAGTCTCAACCGATCTTGGACCTTCTCAACTACCCGAATGTCATCATTACGTCCAGGCCGCATGCAGGATTTGATAAATCGATTCAGGACTTTGATCTCGAGCTTGAGACGACAGGTTTTCGCTCCGAGCAGGTAGAAGCATACGTCGACCAGATTGTGGGCTGCATTGGCAAGGATGCAAAATCTGCAAAGGAGATCAAGCATTTCATCAACAGCCACTGGTTGATGAAAAGTCTTCTTCAGATTCCTATTCAACTGGATGCGGTATGCTTTGCTTGGAACGAGAGGCTTCTCTCGCAAAACATCAGAACCATGACTTCCTTGTATCAGGCAATCGAAGTCAGACTGTGGAAAAAAGACATGGTACTCATGGGAAAGCTGAGCGAGAGTGAAGCTGATAATATCTACGTACGGTCTCAAGTCGAACAAGCTATGCATGACCATATCGAGCTAATTCAGAAGCTTGCTTTTACTGGCTTATACAACAACATTGTTGAATTCACACATCAACATCGAATAACAACATATGCAACATTGCCTGGCTTGGAAGGTAAATCGGATAATCTACTCAATGAAGTATCATTTCTCCGGAGCTCTCATTCCGCGGAGACTCACCAACGCCAGATTTATCACTTCATTCACTTGACCTTCCAGGAGTTCTTTGCTGCTCATTACTTCGTGCACTGCTGGATGACTGATACACCGCTCATATGTCTTGAACTGGACTCGACCGAGTGTCATCATCTGGATGCAAAACAATTTATACACCGCGAGAAGTATAACGGTCGCTACAATGTGATGTGGCGATTTGTAGCGGGACTTCTCTTTGAAAGCAAGAATCAAGAAAAACTGACTCAATTCATGCAAGTACTAGGCAGCGAGCCAAGGGATCTCCTTGGACTTGCACATCCTCGTATCTTGATGTATTGTTTCAATGAGATTTTGCTTTCTCCTTCGTGTCGTGCTCTGTGGCAATTGCAACAAGAAATGGATGAGGAGCTGTTGGCAGCTCTGCGGGTAGACAGTTTTAAGTCTTCCTTCGCCTTGAGTACTAAAATAGAATTTCCAGAGTACTTACTGGAGCAAGTCATGGACGACTCATGCCATGAGTACTGCAAAATTAGGGTTCTCTCCGACATTTCGAGGCGTGCTCGAGTGTCATCAGCACTCTTACGAAAGGTCAACAGTATTTTGCACACTAGCGAGAATAATGATGTGAAGCAAAGTGCTTTTATTGCCCTCCTTGCGCATAACAAATTCTGGCAGGAACCCCTCCAAGAGATCCTTGAGAATCCAAAGCTGTGGGTGACAGGAAATCGTAATTACCTCTTCGAGAGGCCAATGACGAGAGTGCCGGAAGAATTTATCAATACATTGTTAGCCTGGATTGAAGCAAAAGAGACTCTGGTGCCAGAGTTGGTTCGGCTCGTACAACAGCAGTTCAATCTAGCTAGAACAAGTATCACGAAGCTTGTATCGCTGCTAGATGCGCGTGAGCCACCTTTGAGGGCGTTTGCTGTGGCAACACTCGGGTTCTATTTATCTACAAACATCGATATCATCCCGCATGTTCTGGCTCTCCGGCATGATAGTGATCTACAGGTGAGGCTTACGGTCATCCGAGCTTGCTCCGCGCTCTCTGATAAGCCATCTGCTCTTGATACATTACACAATGCTCTGAATGATGACGATGCCAAAGTTCTAGAGCTTTCTCCAGATGCCTTGCGGTCAGAAGAATCTCTGCCCATGGATATTTTAGACACTGTGGCCTTTCGAATGAAAGATGAAAAGGACCCTATAGTGAAGATAAGAACAATGGAAGTATGGAGCAAACATTGGGCCCGCCCAGCGGACATCGTGGAAACTGCCGTTCTAATCCTGGATGACGACGGGAACTCCTGGAATATTAGGGTTGCGGCAGCTGAAGTCATTGGCCGTCAAAAGCTTCCTGAGTCTCGAGTGCGCTCTTTCGTGTCTATGCTCGAACATGCCGAGTCGGAAAAACGAGATCTAGTGCTTCTCATTCTCGGGGAATATTCCAAACACTCCACGCTCCCAGATGAAGCTTTCAAGGCCTTCCTTGAGATCTGGAGCCACACTGATGATTCCGGAAGGGGCCTCATGCAAAGCATGCTTCAAGATGACCATGACCTGAGTGACGACGTTCTGAAATCTTTGGTCTCTTTTCTGGGTGATTCGGATCAAAAGCTTCGAAGGCTAGCGTGTCGGGTATTTGTCGCACAGTCCCGGCTGCCAAAGTTCGCCACGGTCGCCATCTCGGCTCTGTTGCCCGACCCGGATTTGAAACACGAATACACGACGACCCTTGCGCTGGAGGCCCTGTGTAGGGATCCGGAACTGCCGGAAGGTATTCTCCAGGTCGTGGTTCAGACTCTGGAGGCTTCGCAATCATGGGATAACGTGCGTGTTGCTGCGGTTTGTCTCAGAGCACAAAGGCATCTCAGCCAAGGGCTCTCGCAAGCCATACTATCAGCCCTCACATGGTCCACGGCATCACATGTGGAGAAGGTGATTCGCAAGCGTGATGAATTTAGCACGGTGCTGCCGAACCTCGATGGCGAGCGTTGGGAGATGTTGTTCGAGATCTGGATGAAGAAAAGCCTGTACACCGACTTTTCTTGTGTTCTTCAGGGAGAGGAACTTCGGCTTACCACTCCGGGGCGTGCTTTAAGCGTCTACTTGTCAACTCCTCTACAGCGGGAGACTGTCAGAAATGCAGCGCAGGCTGCTCGAGCGCGGGTACTGGGTGGCTCTGGCTTGGTGCAGGAGTAGGCTCTTAGCGATCTAGGTGGTGATGTTGACTTAGTACCAATTTTGCACGGCTGCATGACTCGATTGAAGACTACACCGTAGGCGATTGGATACATAGCCATGGTCTTTCAGCAGACTGCGCATGCTGTCAACCGGTGCAATTCACAAATCTCGCCATAACCTCTTGATTACACGCGAGATGACAATCCGGGCTTTGCCATCCTCGGTCTCGCTTGCGTCGCGCTATCTCGGAAGGGTCAAGCTCTTGTGAGTCAAGAATGAGTTACCGGTGCGGTCATTTTCGGGATTGGACTGATAGTGTCACATACACTGGGAAGAAGTTGCCGGTGTCACGGTAGTCGTCCGCACTACAAACAGCTACTGCATCACACACGTCCACTACCTGCGCATATCTACTTTTTCAGACCAAGACTGCTGTACAAGCTCATTGAAAGAGTCAAAGCACAAGAAGCAATACAAGACCTGCTAAAACGCCAGCAGTGGCAACACCAAATTGTCCCTGAGACGATCTGCCAGCACCATTCAAGGCAACAGGAACACCAGTGCCGTTTGTGGAAGTCCCATTCGTGCCGGCAGACCCGGTCGTCTGATCAGCAGCCGCGGCAGCAGTGGCAACGCCCTTCCCAGTGAAGCCAGCCATATTCGCGAAAAAGATGCTGGTTGCACTGAGCTGTTCCTCTCTCCCATCAGTCCCGTCCCATTCGTCCGAATACCAGCGACGACCGCAGAGTGTCTGATTGTTGCCACCCGTGCATTGCTTCGCCGCTCCGACAGCCGACGCCTGCAGACGCGAAGACACCTCAGACGAGATGTACGGAGCGACGAGACTTGCCAGCGCCAAATCCGAGACAAAAGTCCCCTTGTACGTGTCTTCGAGCGAGTTGCAAACCTCTGCGGGCTCACAAAGGATTTCCGACAGGATCAGACCGCCGTACTTCTCGGGGAAGAAGGTTTCGAACGAGACGTTGAGCAAGCCGTCGAGGCCGGACTTCCATTTGCTGTTTTGACCGTTGGTCTTCGTTCTCGTTAGTCGTTGTTGCTCTAAGCTGGCTTGCAAATGACTTACGTAGTTGTACATATAGGCTGCACCGCTGATGTACGGCCCGTAATTGGCCGTCCACTGGTTGTTTCCCTGGGTCGTGCAACCATTGTCCACATTCGTGCTGTCGGCGATACTCCAGGTTTTGTTGTTCAAGAGCGGCACGCTGGCACTCCAGTCCCAGATCTTATCCGCCCAGTCTGCGTACGTCTGGTTGTGGGTGTACCGAGCCAGCCGCGCAGAGAGCTGGAAGAGACCACCGTTGCTGATGGCATTCTTCTGGGTGTATCCGGACTCGAAGGGCCAGATCTGCCAGCGCAGTCCGCCCCCGCAGTTGCTCGTGTCCCACCGTGCAACCTGGGTGTTGAAAACGCCTTCGGCCAGAGTCAACCACGATGTCTGATTAACGTCCTGAGGGTAGTCCAGCTCTGCGGCTGTCATCGCGGCAAGGCCCCAGGCCATCTGGTCGTCATTGCCTATCTGCGAGCTCCAGTTCGACGGCATGTAATCGTCGTCGCCGATCTGCCAGTACATGCCCTGGCTGACGGCGGGGTTGTAAGAGGCGTCGCCGGTGAAGTACCAGTATTGGATCATGAGATTGAAGAGAACGCCGCCCTCACCCCAGAGGCTGGGGATGACACCTGGAATCTCTCCGGTCTTGTTACCGTTGTAGTGCTGCATGGTGTTGAACGCGGCGGTGGCGGCTGCATCTTTAATGGACTCTGCAGATGGGATGATTTCAGCAGGAGACAAGAGGAGTAGAGTTCATTGAAATCATACGTTCATTGTTGATGTCCAAATCGATGGCAGACACGGTGCCCGCCACAAGGGCAGCGGCATAAGCCACTTTCAGGAGGTTCTGGAAGGTAGTTCTCGCCATATTCACAGTCACCATGGGAGAAGCTGCGTTATGACAGGAGGCTGACAGGAACCGAATCATCCGGGTGAACCAGAGATCTTAAGTTATAATCCACGAGCCAAGCGTCGGGAGACACCCGCCTTAGCGTGAGTCAATTGTGACCGGGCCATAGGCGGAAATCTCGTCTTCACTGCCTAATTCCCTAAAAGGGTGCACAACAATTCGTCCAGGTGGAGATGAACAAGTCAGGAACCGACCAGAAGAGGAAAAGGCTAGGGCCCTGCATCTGGGGCTAAGGGCCAAATTGACGCTGCGATTGGATTTCTGGGAAGGATCTAATTTCGGTTGCTGTGTTGGCGCCAAAATCGGACCCCTTTTAGGGTTCAAGGTTCCGAACTATTGACCCCCGCTGCGGGCCGTCAGGGGGTGAGCTTCGGAGGCTTGGGCCCGGCAGTGCCGACTGCCGAATGTTGGAGTATACTGTAGACCTTGTGATTTGTGGTTGTTTGAGTCTTTTCTGCCTCACTGGGGGCATGTCGATTATCTCGACCCCAATGTTTCAAGTAGTAAGCGGTGGATTGGGCACCTCGTTCATGCTTACCAGTTCGGACCTTGATTTTGTCTGGCTAACCTATTGCCAAGATGGCCCAGAATGCATGTCTTATATCCATCGCCCTACTTTCCAATTTTGTCGGTGTGACTATGATGGTGTCTTCTGTTAATCAAGCCTCGCAGCTTATGGTCAGGAGGTTGATCTGACAGCAGACATTACTGAGGCTTAGTCAGGACGAGGAAACTACTCCACCCAGAAACTCGGATCAAGTATCTCGCCTGGAGCTCTATCTCCTGCTCTATGCCTCTCGATTTGTGGCCCAGCTAGCGAAGCTATGCCTCTATCATCTTTGAAGCATAGAATAGCATGATCATCACTCATCGAAAGACGTCATACAGATACTTGACTTGAACAACGAAAGATACTCGATGAAAGATCTACGAGTGAGATGCCAAGACTGCATAACATGTCCCATCGAGAGAAGGGCAGTGCGCATTAACACATGAAATATAGACAAGACTTCATCGTCCCCCTGCCCACTCAGATGGAGATAAGGTTATCTTTCGAACCAAGATCCAGCCACACGCGACGATCGCATTACCGGCGGGGAAGATGAACTCATCCCATTGCGTCACAGCGGGCCGATTTCCTGTTTGGGGCTATCCGCCACAACCTGACTACCGACCAACATTCCACATTCTTAAGAAAAAAACCTCTTCAATTGTAACTCACTCCATCATATCTCCTCCATCAAGTGACCTTACCTCTACCTAATTAATATCCATTGCCACAGCAGCCACAATGTTCGCCTGGTAAGCGCGCCCACTATACCCCAACCACCAACACCAAAACTAAGACGCAATCCAGGTACCAAAGAAGTCTCATCCAACGACCCTACCTAACGCAGGGTCTCACCACAGCCGTACGCAACCTGTCCCTAATTCCACTACCCCTCTACCCGTGTCTCTGGACCCAGCAATCCCCCAATGCTAACCTCTGGATTAAGGTCCTCTTCGCCCTAGGCGACGGCCTCGCGCAAACCGCCATCGAGAAACGTCCCCTCGCCGAGTATGATGTAATGCGCAGCAGCCGGATGGCGCTATACGGCGGCGGTGAGCATGCGCTACCCCTACTCCTACCCTTTCTCCCCTCCCCTCCCCAAAAATATCACGGAGGTACTAACAAGCGCAGCTGTGTTCGGCCCCGTGGCCACAAAATGGTATCAACTCCTGCAAGCCCGCGTAGCCTTCCGCTCGGCAGGCCCGACGCTGGTCGCCCGCGTCGGCGCGGATCAGCTCCTCTTCGCGCCGACGATGATCGGCGTGTTCCTGAGCAGCATGTCGCTCCTCGAGGGGAAAAGCCCGGCCGAGAAGCTGCAGCGAAGCTACTGGGACGCGCTTTGCGCGAACTGGACCGTGTGGCCCGCGGTGCAGGCGGTGAATCTGTTCCTGGTGCCCCTGCCGTTTCGGGTGTTGGTGGTCAATGTGGTTAATGTTGGTATGTTTCCCTTTGCTCTTTCTTGGCTGGGGAGGGGGTTATGATTGAGGGTTGGAAATGGGATAGGGGGAAGGGAGTAAGGATGTTTGCTGACTTTTGGTGGTAGGATGGAATTGTTTCATGAGTTTGATCAATAATGCCCCGCGCGGGGAGGAGCAGCCTATTGGGGCTTGATTGGTTTGTAGAGGGCTGGGGTTGAGATGGTTTGGGGGGGGGTTTGATGGAGGAGCTCTTTATGTATGATTGATGTGTTGCTGGGTTGTATAGATGGTATAGATTTGAGGGCTTGGTTCTGATACTGGTTTGGTTCATTAGAGCGACAATGAATTGTACTTTGAATTTCCAGCAATGGGGTATGTTGACTATGCGCAATGCCATCCGGACAAGGGCATTGTCACTATTTCGAGAAATTCTTCCATGACGTACCCCGTGTAGATCGGATTCGGTCATCGTGGGGTCGGCGGCAGCCTACCTGTTGGAGCTTAGCCGATCGGTGTCGGAATATTCCTATTTAGGCTGAATCGCCTACCGCTCGATTAGGAATTTTGTTTTCGATCCCGATCCCATCGAGATCTATAACGACCGAAAATTGATTGGTAGACATGTTCATTCACTAACTGTCATATTTGGTCATTACCGTTAGAAACCCACGCCATATACTCAATCCGTAAATCACCTTACTGGTGCTGTCGCTCCAACCCTTCTCCTGCGAGGGTGCCGTATCTTCTACCCCAAAGCCAGCCGAACCTCCTGTTCCCAGTCGAAATTCTCTAAAAAGGCCATGAACTCCATGTCATCGCCTATGGTGGCTCCATCCGAGACTACTGCTTCGGAAGGAGAGATGCTGGACGGCACACCCGACAGCACGCGGTCCAGCGCCTGCGAGATGACCTTCTGGCCCCGATTACTGATCTCGTAGTCGCCCTCATTTTGAGGGACAAAGGTGTTGAATTGTGCGATGAACACTGACAGCTTCTGAATAATCTCCGACCGGGGAAACGGTGGTAAAGGCGATGCCAGCAGGGTGAGCGGCTGAGTCTGAGAGCGTCGGAGTAATTCGATCGACAAAACGCCGGCCGCGGGCAGGCCGATATAACACAACTTCGAGTAAAGTACGTTAGCCATGAAGAGAGATTTGCCTAGAGTAACAACTTACATCCCATTTCACGTATGCAGGAACCAGCCCTTGCCGTGATTGTATGGATATCATCTTGAGCAGGAGTGTGATGATCTCCGACGATGTGCGGATGAGCAGATCAAGTCCCTTGCCTATACGCTTAAACAATGTTTGGAAAAGTAGAAATTGCTGATACAAGAACTCTAGATGCAGGGATGCAAGTGACAGATCTTCCTTGTTGTCTGTCCATTGCAGATGCTCCGGCATACCTAAGCGGTACTCGTCCGACCTACGGCAAACCTCTCTGTTTGCACCAGATTAGTAGGTAGTCTGGCGGAGCTCAGAAAGAAACGTACAAGACCCTCTCCTCTAGGCCGTCAAGCTCGTGGCTCAAAGATACCTCCAAAACACTCTCGCGCAAGAGGCTGGCAATCAGAACGCCTCTAGCTCGTGCCCCTTTGTCAAGTCGTCCGTCTTTGTTCCAGCCTGCTGCATCGAGGTGCTGAAGCGCCGCCTCTCTAACCGCGGGCTCTGCTACGAGTTCATCATAATCGATATCCAGGGGGAACTGGATATTGCAATAGCGCCAGCATATTCGAGGCGGTCGGCCTAGGCAAGTCGCAAGGTCCTTGTCCAGTGCATAAGCCGCGACCATAGCCCTCTTTCGGATCTCTCCCAGAAAGAACGGGGTCTCACTGTCTTCAGCAGACTGGTGAATGCCTAGTGCAAAAACTGTGGTGGTGAGATCTCCAAGCATCTGCCATGTCCGGTGATCTGAAATGACATCAATACTCGTGATCTGGCAGACACTTAGGTCATTCGTGGCTTACCGCAACTTCCATGCAACGAAGAGAGGAAGATCATGTGTTGGATCATGGTCCAGGACAGTGGGTCGCTAATGATACCTAGATAATTACAAAATTGCAGGCAAGCCTCGGTTGCTTGGTCAGTCATCTGGCATAACCCTTCTTTCGTTGTTCCGGGGTATTCTTTGAATATGTTATCGAGTTCCTGTTGGAGAACTTGGAAAGTCGCCGAGCCTGCCTGTGCAAAGACAAGACCGATCATATCCCACCGGAGCGTGGACTGAGAGAGGTAGTCACTCAAGGACATCGAGGATTTGGTCTCAATTGGAGCAGCCGAGTTCTTGAACAGGACTCGGGACAGATCCATCAACCGTGCGTACTTATTCTCTGAACCTGCGGTCGCGTTGCGGTAGGATGCCCTCAGTCGTGCAATTAGTGGCCTTAATAATGGGAGGCCAAAAAACCATCCTGGTATGATCTTGTTGCGGTTCTCTATCAGTTTCTCGTACAAGTCGAGATGCTCGAGCAACGAGAGTACTTGGGCTCCTTGGTTCACCCGCTGGGGGTCAAGTGGTGTGTCTGTCTGGGAGAGCGAAGCACGAATCCCCAGCTCCAGCTCAACCTCATTGCTGAACACGCTGCCCGAGTAACTGGTCGGGCCCAGAAAACCGCTGCCTGACAGATGACGTTTCGAAACATTGGGAAACTGTGCGGCTCCCAGCAGGCTGACGGACGCGGAGCTCCCGAGATTGGTGACGGAAATTGTCTTCGCACACAGGAGCGGCTGGGGATTGGTGCTTTTCTGTGTTGCCTTGAGAACCTGGCCAGACTGGCGCGGCTTGGTCAGTGGGGCGGGATGGTAAACACAGAGGTCCGATTTACCACGGCGCTCGCAGCGTTTGCAGGTCGGAGTCGAATGATCGCATCGGAGCTTGGATTTCCGGCAAGGCTCGCATGACGACAGTTGACCGTTGCGACGAGGCGCAGACATGGTTTAATTAAACGTTAAACAAAAGTGTGACTCCGCGTGAGTCGAGATGAGTCAAACCGGGAGTCGAGGTCCGACAGTGGGTGCGACAGTGGGTGGGGAGAGGGGAGAGGGAGAGGGTCTGGAAGGGAAGATAAGCTCGCAGAGAGAAAGACAGGAACGCTCAGGGCTGCTCCGAGGGCCCGTGCGTTTACTCCGAGGGCCGACACCGGCCAGGCAGTAACAAACTATACGGAGTGGACTATACAATTCCCTCAATCATCATGAAAGTTATATAAGGGTCAGAAATCAGCAATGTGGAAAGTAAATCAGCAGCTACAGACAAGCCAGTTCGTCCAACTGCATCTCAATCTTCAAAGTGATTCCATCAACCGCATCCACCGCATCCACCGCATCAACACTCCTTGCAGCAATGCCTTCCAACCCATTCAACAGCATGTACCGGGCTATCCGGTCGAAGTCTCCCAAGAATGGCAATAACTCCGAAGACTCCAAATATTTCAAGAACAATGCGGACTCGAAACAATCCAAAGACAGCACGTCTTCAAAAGAACATGCGCAAGACGATTCTGCTTCGGTGCTCAGCGATGCCACTACCCTAGCTCCTCGAAAAGACGAACAGCCTCCGAGAAAAGACAACAGTCGAGATCAGGAAGAGATTGATTTTGATTCCGTGCGATACAGTAAGTACCACTGGACGACCGGATGATCATCTCTGTACGAAGATCTCGCAGTTTGTCAACATGCTAATCTCAAGACAGTGATGCGAGGAATGGCGACCCGTCACTGATACCGCGTGTTTCCCGATGCGCACCTTTGTCTGCACGTTATAGCGCTTTTCACGAGAGATGACCGATTAAAATGTATGGTAATGGCTGGGAAATAGAGAGGACTTTTGGGTTTGTTTTCTGGGGACAGAAGAGGGCAGTGGGTTGGAGTCTTTTGTTTGGGATACTATCAGAATGCATAGTATGCCACCAAATCGGCGGCAGAACGCACAGAATAGATAATAGCAAGGGTTATTTCTCTGGCAGCTCGAAACAACATACGTAAGTGTTTGAGGAACTCAAACGGGCGACAGCATTCTTTGAAGTGCTCTGGGTATGGTACTTCTGGTCCAGTCTTCGATTAAGAATAGACTATTATCCTCAGGAACATTCTGTTTCCAAAATCTTTGGTTGGCGTTGGTGAAACGTGGGCGCCTAGAGATTTCCAAGTCGGCTGCCCATGACGACTACCTCCGGTTCTCGAACGTGTTGCGACCCGGTTGTCGGGCCGTCGCAAGGGGAGAGAGCTTGTTAGACGTTTTGTGTCACTCAAACTATAATACCCCTTTCCTACTATCACATTCCATGCGCAGTTGCTTGGCTAGACCGTCGCTGCTTGGTAGGCTGCTTGGTTTGTTGTCAAAGGAACGGTGGGCGGAGTATCCCACCATTTCTTTCGAGTGCTGCAAAGATGCCAAGCTAAAGGCTTCCTGCCAAGGATGACTCGTAGACAAAAGTAAAGCTTGACTGTCTCTGACTTCGCGGATGGATGAAGGGTGGTATGTGGGGTTTCTGATGAATCTCGGCAGAGCCGTAACAAGCAGAATTTTCATAGCTGCCGGTTGGACAACTGTTCCACCCGGCGCGGTGGTTCAGCTCGACATTTGTTTCAGAGAAACGGGAGTTTCAACGCGGTGTAACAGGTAGAAGTAGAAGGGTCTTTCTGAGAAATGACGCAAGGCCAGACCTTGCTTCTACGCTGTCTATCGATAAGCCTCATTTTCGCGGAGGTTAGCGCAGACCCTGGAGGGGGGGGTTGGAGGATGAAACGCACAGAGGGTGGAATGGCTGGAGTCGTGGACCCTCCTCATCTTGAGCAATTCATTGGATATGCAGTACCATTGCACGAGCCAACCGGAGAAAGGCTCAACGCCATCGGTCAGGTTTCTGATGCGATGGAGGCGATTACGTGGAGGGGCGCGGCTGGAACCGCAGGGCCGCGTGTCGTTTTGAGCTGCCAGCCTGCCACACAGCCTGCCACAGCCTGCCACAGCCTGCCAGGGACCGACCGGCTGGCCGATCGGTCGGCGGCTCCACTTTTCACACTCTTTCTCCTTCGTCACTTTTTTGTTTTTATCTTTCTACACCCCCCCCCCTCTCTGCTCTTCGTCTCTTTCTTTTCTCCTTATCCAGCAGCACGGTCTTCTGCTGAATCGACCTTCGATTCTCCTCTTCCTCTTCCACGCCTCCGGTTCTCGGTTCCTCGACTATCCTCCCACCGTCTCCCGTCATGTCGTCGAAATCGCCATTGCCCACGGTCAACACCCCCGCGGAGCCCGCGAAAGCGGCTTTGCATCCGGCTTTCTACATCGCGTACGGTTGACTTGCTCTCTACGACTCGAACTCAGACTAATACACCGCTAGAACGTGGATTGCGCTCAGCTCGGGGGTCATTATCTTCAACAAGTGGATTTTGCACACTGCTGGATTCAGTGAGTATTGCGACTTGTGCTTTGATTTGTGGGGATCATGCTAATCGCGATCGTTTTCACCAGGTTTCCGTACGTCGATCCGTGTCTAGACACCGTTGCCGAATGCCTCCAGAACTGACAGTATGTTGCTATAGCCTTGTTTCTGACTACATGGCACTTGGTCTTCGCTACTATTATGACCCGCCTGATGGCGCGGTTCACGACCCTGCTCGACTCCCGCCACAATGTGCCCATGACCTCGCGCGTTTACGTGTTCGTCTCTCTTGCCCTGACTTATACACCGTTGCTAATTGGGAATGTCTTTAGGCGCGCTATCGTACCCATCGGCGCTTTCTTCTCGCTGAGTCTTATCTGCGGCAACCTGGCCTACTTGTACCTCAGTGTTTCTTTCATCCAGATGCTCAAGGTAATCGCATTGAACCCACTCGCCTGAGCAGGGATGCTAATTGTACCAGGCCACTAACTCCGTTGCGACTCTCCTCGCGACATGGGCTATGGGCATTGCGCCAGTGCGTCTGAGCTTGCTCGGAAACATCTCCTTCATCGTCATCGGTGTTATCATCGCCTCGATCGGCGAGATCAAGTTCACCATGATTGGCTTCATCTGTATGTGCTCTTATGCCCTCATGACATGAATTGCGTGCTCATATTTTTGCAGGCCAATTCTTCGCCACCATCTTCGAATCCGTTCGTCTGGTCATGGTCCAGCGCCTCCTCAGCTCCGCCGAATTCAAGATGGACCCCTTGGTTTCGCTCTACTACTTCGCGCCCGCTTGCGCGATCATGAACGGTGTTATCACTGCGGTCGTGGAACTGCCGACCATGCACATGTCCGACATCTACAACCTTGGAGTTGGCACTCTTTTCTTGAACGCTGCTGTTGCTTTCGGACTCAACGTTGCTGTCGTCTTCCTGGTATGTCGACATGAGCGTAGGGTGGAGAACATGTGCTAATGTGGTTCTCTAGATCGGCAAAACTTCTGCTCTCGTCCTCACCCTGTCCGGCGTCCTCAAGGATATCCTGCTCGTGGTGGCCTCGATGGTTATTTTCCGCGATCCCGTCACGCCCCTTCAGTTCTTCGGCTATGCGATTGCTCTTGGTGGACTCATCTATTACAAGCTCGGAAAGGATGGAGTTACTTCGCTGTTGGCCCAGATTCGCTACAATGTGGTCGGCGGAGCTCGCCCGTAGTTCAACCGAGTGTGGCGTTGACGACGGTGCTGACAGTGCTGGAATATGCCACTGCGCCGTCCGGGGGGGTTGCGAATAGCGAGGAAGAGAAGAGGATCATACCCACGAAGACCGATCACCAAGATAGAAATAATTGTGTATAGACGTGCGGGCCGGGTGATGTATATAATGGTGTAATAATACGATAGAAACGATGCCTATCCAAGAACCAAGTGTCACTAATCTACTTCATCTATCATCTAATTGAATCCCAATCTATCCACAATTCAAATCCAACTCACAACTTCCCCAGCAACGCAGCATCCACAAACTTCAACGCCTCAGCATACGCCTCCATCGCCCCCTCGGCCAACTTCGGCGGGAACCCCGACTTCAAATCCACCAACCCATGCCCGGCATCCTGCACAAGCAACAACTCCGTCCTAATCCCCAACCGCCCCAACTGCTCATGCTGAAACCTACTTTCCTGATCAGGCACAACCTCATCCACCGTCCCATGCACAAACACGGCAGGGGGATACCCCTCCCCCACAAAGCTCTGCAGGAACCCGGGCTTCAACTCCTCCGGCACCGCTTCCGCCCTCTCCGCATACGCCACTCTATTGAGTGTTGCCCCCAACCCGGGCCGTCCAAACACCCCGTCCAAAAACGTCCCGTCGATCTCCCACCGCACCGTCAGCGCAAACCGATTCGAGTTTCTGTCTGCATCGTCGCTGACCACCGTCCGATCCGCCAGCAGTCGCGGGACGTCGTCCAGATCGACCATCTTGGCGATGGAGGTCGGCGGCCGCGGCTGCGTCCAGTGGTCCAGCAGAAGATTCCCGCCGGTGCCGTAGGCCGTCATCAGCACACAGGGCTTGGGGGTGGCGTAGACGCACGCGGCGCGGGCGGAGTAGGCGCCCGCCGAGAAGCCGGTGACTGCTATGCGGGAGGTGTCCAGGGACAGGTCGGGGGACGGGAGGGAGGATTGGAAGGCGGGGCTGGCCAGGAAGCGGAACAGGGCTTGGGCGTCGGCGATTTGGTCCAGGGCCGTGCTCGGGTGGCACAGCCGGTAGTCGGCGGAGATGAAGATGTAGGTGGATTTTTGGCAGTGGTCTGTGGGATTTAGAATCAGTTGGGTGATTCAGGGGCTGGGGATTGGGGGATTGGGGGATTGGGGGATCTCGCACCGTAGAGCCAGGTGGGAAAGTGGCCGCCGCGCCGCGAGCCGGCGGTCATGCCGCCCCCGTGGTAGTAGATTATCGCGGGCAGGTGGCCGCTCGTCGTGTTGCGCGGTAGGTAGTAGTCTAGTTTGATCTCGTGGCCGTCTACCGTGGAGTAAACCAGGGTCTTGCCGCCTTCGGGGAGTTGGGTCTTCGGGGGAGGCATTGTGGGTGCGATTGGTGGTTTGGTGGTGTTGTGTTGTGTTGTGTTCAAGGTTGGTTGTGTTGTAGTTTGTACAGGATAGGGAGATCGGGGGTGTTGGCGGTAGGCAGCAGCAGCAGTAATTAAACTTGTAGGAGTGCATGAGGTAATGGTCTAGAAGCCCTCATGTGGGGGGGATTTGGGGGATTCTGCCCCGCCGGGGATGAATTAATTGCCGCCTTCTCGATTCACTGTACGTACCATTCTCTCCTCCTGACCGGTTCCTCTTCTCCACTCTCACTCTTCTATTTCTGGTTTCGACATCATGATTGTTTATTTCGGAAATATGGTTTTTTCACTATTTAGTCTGAGGCAATAGCTATCTCCAGCGAGGCCTGAAGTCTTTCAATGCCCACCGTTCTCTGGTCTCTTTTAATATTTCACGCGGTGTTTCTCCTGCAAAGTTGGCTTGATCCATGGATGCCCCAGCGCCCTGAAGAATGTCGATCATCTTCTCAAGCGCCTTAAACCCTTCTTCAAGCGGAGTTCCTGCGTGTTCACTGTTATTCATTGGTCGCCACTTCGGAAAGACACTCGCGCCAGCAGCCATATGTAGCGGGGTATTTCCCATCTTGTTGACTGCATTGACGTTGGCACCCCGGCTGAGCAGTATGCGGACTGCGTGGGTTTGAGGAAGTCTCCTGGAAATATAGTGCAGTACGGTATCGCCGTTCACATCTGAATTGTTGATGTTGACCAGTGTCAGGATTTTCTCCAAGGTCTCAGCATCAATTAGCCTGATACTGCTGTCTCTCATGGCCAATCTGTACAACATGGTTCGACTAGACTCATCGCACATGCTCGGATCTGCCCCATGCACAATTAGAAGATCAAGCAGCTGCAGAAAGATCTCACACTTGACGCCGTCATCAGTGCGATGTGATACAGCGTAATGCAAAACAGTTGAGCCTGGTCTATCGGCGTCGGTGTCCCGGACATTCAGGATGTCCCGGTCGGGTCGGTACTCCAGAAGCAATTTCACTACTGCGAGACAGTCGGCATCCCCCACACGGCTGCTGACCGCATAGTGCAGCACTGTCTTGTTTGCTTGATCCTTCACATTGACCATTGCAGGCCCCATGTCAAGAAGCAGTTTCACAGTGCGCAACAGGCGCGAGGTCACTTCCGAAGGAGTCAAGGTGGCTATTTCGTTCTTATCACCCATTAACGCCCAATGGAGTGGTGGCCGTCCGTGGTCATCCCTTCTCAAAACCATCTCGGCCAGTCCGGTCCGACCCCCGTGGTCTAGTAGCGCTTGCATCGCGTCCAGATTCCAGTATTTGCTGGCAATATGCAGTGGCGTGACCCCGGCGCACCGAAAGGCACCGCCAAAGGCACAGGGATCGTACCACGTCTGCACAACATGCGCATCGGAGCCTGCCGCGATCAAGCGGGACACCATTGCATAGCTGGCGTGGGTTACCACATTGCCCAGCACAGTGTCCCCCAGTATCTGCTGGTCGCCAGGCTGGGCTTGCCATCCGAGTTGATAGGGAAACATGTATTGATCCGCCTCGCGGACCGAAGCACCACCGGCCAAACAGAACTCGATAAACTCGCCATAGCGAGCGTGGTGCTCTCGCAACTTCTCCCGGATCATCGCGGGACTTGTCTCCTTCATCTTTCTCTTCAAAGCTTCCACATTACCGGGAAAGGCTTGTGCGGCGCAGATCAGCGGTGCCGCCCCCTTGGCGTCCCGATCCCGCCACGCGCCCAGGGGTGGCTGATGGTCGAGCAGGAACCGTGTCATTTTCAGATCGGCGTTACCGCAGGCGAGATTGAGCATTCGAAAATCAAGTCTCTGCAGATATTTCTCCAGCGGCTGTTGAGAATGCGTGGCATCGGACTGATAAATGTCTATCAGGGCGCGTAAAGTGTCAAGACTTCCATGGTAAGCCGCGGAATAGAATGGCGGCAACGGGTAGTAGCCGTAAAGGCTTACTTGTACCCGGCTGAAAATATCCTCGCCGCGCTCTTTTGCTTGTTCGTAGTATCTGAGCAGACCGAGTACGTCGTTTTGTCTGATAATCTCATCTAGAAAATCTCTACCTCCAGCATCGTAATCATCCTCAAGGTCTGAGTGTGGCTCGTGAGCCGCATGGTCTGGTATCATGGTCCAAAATTACTGATGAAAGGCAACGACAATAGAGGATCAACAGATGAGTAGATAGGTAGGTAGACATGTAAAGAGCGATGTACATGGATTCGTGTCCTGGACGCGGCACGTACAGGTGGATTATATATATTATTAACAAATCACATGACTAGTTTTTATGGGAATCTCTGGCGTACTGTCTAACCAATACAGTACGGTGCATACAGTCCATACGATACATACAGTACAGTACATACGGACAATTTGCCCAAAACAGCAAAAGGAGTCCAACCATCTCTCAATTTCTCGGGGTGTCAGGAGCAGTGCCTGAAATATCCGGGGCTGGTTCTCCATTTGCCCCGAAATTCGTGTTGAACGCATTGGCTCCTGGATTGAAGTCGGTTAATCCGTTCAAGTATGTCCGGTCACCATTAGTGAATCCTTCAGGAGCCCCATAGTAGGCGTTCGGCCACAGAAGCTGGAAGTTCCCGTTGGAAAGAATCCCCTGGTCAAATAGCCAGAGACCCTATAAGTCATATGCATGTCAGAAGCGCGCCGGAATATGTAAGCCCATTCTCGTGATTCTCACGTGAGGTTCAGGCAAGAGGAAGCGGCAGTTTCTTACGAATTGATTCAACGCTGCGCTATACTCGGCCGGACGCCCCTCGGATCTGAGGCTCGCGACAGCATATTCTTGATCCCGACCTATATACCAGCGGTTTTGGCTCTCACACAAGAGCGTTTGAGTACGGGCATTGTAATCTCGTAGCTGTCCAGTGTTAAACCTCCCTTGAGCGTAGTTCGATGTGAAAAAAAACTCGGCGCGTGGGTCAACATTCCGAGCAGAGAATTGGTGGAGGGTTTGGCTCTGATACACACCCATGGCGGTCACACCTGGATAAAAATGCGGCTGCCCGCTCCCTCCGTGGTAAAATGTCTCTGCATCGCGGACAATGTGCAGATGGAATATAAACCACCGGTCTGTTTCAACCAGGTGAGTAGAATCGGCGTACTGGGCACGCAACGTGGCGCTCGGCGCCTCACCGACCGTAGGGCCAATCCAGAATGCAAGCTCCAGATTGACTTGGGGCTCACCCGCGTTGGTTGGGTCAGACCGTAACCAACGCCCATAGTGGAAGGATAGATCGCCCTGTGATTACCGCCCGGCAGGTGTTAGCCAGTCAATACGCACAGAGAGAGAAAGAAACAGAACAAAAAAAAAAGAAAAGAAGAAAGAAAAAACTCCGATGACATACCGCCAAAATGCCTTTGATGATAGCCATCACTGTAGGCAAGTCGCCATTGGCGGACCTGCTATCCATACTCACCCCATCTATTGCGCGCCTCATTAGAGTGGACGTGGACGAGGACACTCCCGTGGGCATTTCGCACAGAGCGTCCGATGCCGCACTCAAACTTTCCAGTCCATTGGCAGACTCCGCAATGTCACACAGCGTTTGTGCCAGCAGGGTCCTGACCTCATAATCGGCGGAACCGGTGAAGGCATTCCCTGCAGCTACTGTATTGACTGCACCCGTCAAGAGCGTCACATTTGCGGCTTGCTCTGCGTATCCATAGCGCGCGGTAAGTTCTTTCCAGACATCGGCGAACCGCTGGGAAGGAGAGGATGACGTGAGCCAGGTCTGGAGCAGTACAAGAAGATTGGAGAGCACCAGGGCCTGGTTCTTGGTGATACTTTTTGGGTTGCTGGAGCTTGTATCTCTGGTTATTATGAAACCCAGGCCTGCGTCATACTCAGGATCCCAGTCAGGCGGGCAAACCGGGTGAGCAAGAAATCTGTCAAGGTATGCATAGAATTCGGTGAGCGTGTGATCTTCGAGTGGGTTGTCGTATCGCGGAACGAGAGTGTGAGTAGTACCGGCGCAGCAGTATGCCTCATTGCCATACAAGCAATTCGCGGTCTGTGCCGTGTCCTGAGCTCCAAAAACCACATTGATAGACTCTTCGGCAATGCGAATAGACCCCGAAGGACAGGCGTCGGTGCAATACTCGGTATTTGTAAACTCCACCACATGCCCGGTCCAGGCGCAATTGGTAAACGCGTCCGGGACCGCGCCTGAGCAGCAGTAGTTGTAGTGCTTTTTGGAACCGCAGGACTTGCGACCTCCCCAGCCTTGACGGGAGCTTACAACAAATTGGTTGTAGCCCGAAGGACAGGTTTCGTCGCTCTCACAAGACTCGGTCCACGCACATTGGGACCAGGGCTTGGTGGATGAGGTCACCGTGCAGCATGCGGATTGATAGCCGGAATGGCAGCCTGCAGTGATCGTGCCCACTTCAGCCTCGCCGCTCTCACACCCTCCCTTGCATTTCCCGCTATTATGGAAGCCTCGCCACTGACATGTTGGCATTTCTTCCGTGCTCGGACAACATAGCGTCTGGGTCTGACCCGTCCAGGATCGACACTCGGTGGAATCCAGCATAAGCTGGCCGGACTTATCTGCACGAGGGACCTCCTTGAAACCACTAGGACATACCTCACCGCAATTGATGAAGCGACAGTATTGGTCTTGACTGTTGGAACTGCCAAGAAGGGGCGAGACCTCCTCCGAGACTAAGGGCTGCGTCAAGCCGGTAGTGGTGTTTATGTTGACCGGATTCCCCAAAGCGGCAGCCAGCCCTAGGGAAAAGCTATGCTGGCTATCGTCTTCATCCACCGACCACACGAGAACCCCTCCTAGACATTCGGATTTGGCGAACTCGGCTTTCAATTTCCACGTGTCTTCGTCGTCATACGAGGCCCACTGATCAGTGTTCCATGTGATAGTCTTGACCGCAGCATCCTTGTACAATGTCGGGGTGAGATCATTCTCCTGGATGATATCCATTATCTCACTGCCAAACAAAATCCCGGCCGAGTTACTGCACGTGCCGGCGTCCCCCGCGGACGCATACGCACACCCTGGCTCGGAACATGAAGGGTCGACGAGAGTGAAGGTGCGACCATAGAAGGCCATACCCATGTTAACCTTAGATGGTGAGATATTGTTCCGCCAAAGTAGATCCAGCGCAGTCTTGATCTCTGTAAGATTGGTTTGCGCGTCGAGGTATGGACCGGTCCACTGGTCTCCAATATCCCAGGTACCGTGCAAGTCATAGCTCATAAAGTTGAACCAGTCGACCGAGGGCTCAATGGACGTTATATCAAAGTGCTGTAGATACCAGTAGCTCGTCGGGAGCGTGATGGAAAGGCCGTATTTATAAGTTTGCAGTGCCTTTTTCAGATTGGCCAGAAACTTGGAATAATTGTTGTAGTCCCCGGGACGGCCGTTGCGGTCGGCAGCGACAGGATATTCCCAGTCAATATCCACTCCACTGAATCCAAAACTACTCATAAAGTTGATCAAGGAGCTAAAGAAGGCATTCTGCTGACCAGAGTCAGCAGCCACGAGATCGGAAAATGTAGTAGCTGTCGGGGAGTTGCTGTCGGAGAAATCCCAGCCACCAATGGATAATCAAAGTTCTTGTTCTGGATCCCGCATCTGCAGAGCCTGGAGCTGCGAGTAGAGAGACTCATCGCCAGCTTCCGCAGGGATTACTTCAAACGTATCCGGGTCGATACTGCCAAAGGCGAAGTAGATGTGTGAAAAGACGCCCTGAGGAAAGGCAAATGGTGCCATGCCGTCACAAGCTCGTGTAGCTGCGGCCGAGTTGTAATAACCAATAACCCGGGTAATAGAGTGTGAAATGGCGTCACATGAAGGCGCAGTGACAGTCTTGTTACCGCAGAACTCCTCAGTAGTTCCGCAGAAGCCGAAGGGGCTACAGCAGACATTGAGTGGACAGGTTGTGGCATTGACGTACTCACTAGGCCAGCTCCCTGGGTTGCACTCTGCCTTGGCATCGCAGTTGTTGATGCAGTTGTCGACACCGCAATAATCAGGGCCCATACCACAGACATTGTACTTGCCACAGCACCCAATCTCGCAAGGTACATCAGCACTGCAGTACGTATCTCCCAGCACACGGGGTATAACTCCAAAGAGGAAAAGCAAGGGTATCCCTCGCCACATGATGCAAGATTTGTGAGATTGGTAGGAGGCTTCTGGGGAACCACAATCCAGCCAAACTTTGAAGAGATGTTGATTTTGACAATGTGAAAGAGAGATCACAAAAGAAGGTGAAATGAATGCATTGATCAAGGAAAGTGTGATGAATTAGGGTATACGAGTAATTGAATCAGATGATAGAAATAAGAGCAATGGATGAAGGAGTGAGTCAATAGATGAATGAAAAGTAAATGAATAAGGAAAAGAACGAAACCAATGAGTACATAGACTGTGAAGTCAAAAACGAGTGGCAGACGTCTCAGCTTGAACTCAGACAATAGTCATGGCTCAGCAAGATTGATTATCATCTTGAGACTCAAGGGGGGAATATGAGATATTATATACAGTCACTGAGCTATACAGTAGTTCTTGTTTGATCTCAGACTCTGGAATCATTCAGGAGGCAGGCAATCGCCGCATCGACTTGTGCGATGTACTGTACTGGGACCACAGACTAATATTACAAGTTATTGTATCGATGATACCATTTCAACCGGAGAACGGTGGAAGGAAAAATCCCCACTACAGTGGTAGACTAGTGTCCTGGTATAAGATTAATCCCTCATAGAGTGTATGTACTGTATGAACATATCTACCCATGCCATTTAAAGGCCAGACCTCTACGATGGCAGGCACGGCCGGTATACTGTCGCCTTTCGATCCTAAAGGTATTGTTTGCTCGTCCCATCGAGTGCTTTCATCCGGATAAGCGTTCCGCAATTCTTATTCGAGCATTTCGAGAGAGAGCCATGCTACCTTGAATAATGCGAATTACAACCTGCTTTGATTCTATCTACCTTTACCCACCCTGGTAGGCCTAGAAAATTTTTCACCTCGCTTGGGATGCAACCCCATCGAGCTATTTAGTAGACCCCTGGACATAGTTCGGAATGTGGTCCCGACATGCCACTATTTGATTTTAGCGCTGGCACCTCAAGATGGGCAGGCTGATAGGGCAAAATCCCTTCCAGACCCTTCACGGCAATCTTAAATGTCTCAGACTACGGTGGAGCCTCCATTGGTCTCTATTTTTCATGTGGAAGAGTCAGTGGTATTGCGGGGCCGAGTTACGATCTAAACGCCACTAACGCGATCTATAGGGGCTTGGTCCCTGCGCTAGAAGGCTTAGTCGTATTGACCATCCGAATATCCGAGATCGTATCTTAGAGCATCATCCTCTGGCCTTGGCCGTGACAGCACTCTTGCAACTCCTATTACTCATGTCCCTGGACTTGAGTATCTCTCTCCCCTGTCGGAAAATTGCGACAGTAAAGGTGGGAAAGAGGACCTCTTCGGAGATGAAGCCCGATCAAGCTAGATTGCTAGGATCAACGAGCGACTTGTGATTTACCTTGACATAAACCAAGCCCCTGGCTGACAGGAGAGCGCCGACTGTTCTTTAGAGTGTTTACCGCTTATGTCTTACCTCAATCTCCCATAAAAGCTCGTGGGTACACATTGTTTTGACAACGGAAGGTTCAGTTTATTCGCGTGGTCCTACCTCAACTGCTATTTTCTTTTTGCTACAATCTCAAAATGAGGGGTCGTTGGGCAATTTCTGTGCTGGCAGCTTCATGCTTTGATACCGGCCAGGCAACTCATTACAACTCTCATGCATATCTTCATGCCGCAGTGCATCACTCGGTGCGCCGCATTGCTGATTCGGATCCGACGACTGGGGAAGTTTCCATGTTTCAGAATGGATCTCTCGCATCCCTAGGTCTGACGACTACTTGTGAGGAAGCCCTGTATCAAAGTGTCGCATGTGATCCAGCCATATCATCTCTCACTTCTGACGACTATCTGGGTAGCTTTGACAACGCTACTCTGACGGCCTTGGTTTGTGCTTCGAGCTGTGAGAAATCGATCAAGCAACTCCAATCCTCTGTGTTGACAGGCTGTGGAGATGAAGCAGGCCTAATTCCTGGTCTGCCATTTGTCGGACTGGTGGATATGCTCTGGGCCAACTGGAATCAGTCCTGCTTCATGGACCCGACCACGGGAGAGAACTGTAATGGTAGGAAGAATGTCTTCGTGTTGATGATCAGGCCTCGAGTGCTGATAGTCCTCTGCAGACCAAATTGCATCTTTCGATAACGTCACGTCACTAAGTGATATCTCAAACTCGGACCTGTGTTCCTATTGCTATGTGAAGAAGCTGGCACTAATGCAGGCAAACGGCTATTCAGGCGTCTACAATGATGACTGGCAATCAACGTATGAATATGTGGCCAAGACCTGTAACCTTCAGGTGGCCGACTTCGATCCCACCCCAAGTGTGTTCAACGTGAGCCTGCCATCAGAACAGCCTAATTGTGTGTCTGGTAGCTTCTATACCTCTCAAGAGGGCGACTCATGTGACTCGATTGCTTTGTCTCACAACGTCTCTGCTGCTACAATGTACTATACCAACTCCAACCTCCTGAACTGCACTGATGTTCCGGCCGGTACTCAATTATGTCTGCCGCTGGAATGCGGTAGCACGTACACTGTCCAGCCAAACGACACTTGTACAAGCATCGCCATTGAAAACTTTGTCGGTACGCAGAATATCGTGGCTTGGAACTCACAATTGAATTCGAATTGCAGCAACCTTCATTCCGGCGATCCATTCTGGGGCTCGATGCTATGTGTGTCACCCCCAGGAGGTACTTATACCGGTCAGCCCTTGAGCAACGGCTCAACTTCAACGGAAACAGAGGCTGTGAATCCTCCCTTTGGAGTGACAGTGGCCCCAGGAACCACTACTGATTGTGCGGGCTGGTACACGCACGACCTCAATTCAAATCTTACATGTACAGAGATCTGTCTTTCAAATCAAATCTCTATTCATATGTTTATTGCTGCCAACCCTTCGCTCAACCAAAGCACCTGTGACACCAATCTAACTGTCGGCGATGCATATTGTATTGACCCTTTGACCGGGTTCACCACTACCAATGCCACGGGCACCGCGACGAACTCCTCAACGTCCACCCTTCCGTCGACAGCCCCAGCACCAACCCAGACTGGGATTGTCTCAAGCTGTGATGCATTCTATGTTGCTCAATGTCTGTGACTTCTATTGTTCTCTCGTATGCTAATACTGACTATTGCCCAGCGGGTGATACCTGTGCATCTGTCGCAGCCGAGTTTGGCATCACCAAGGATCAATTCTTTGCTTGGAACCCTGCTGTCTCGTCGGACTGTGAAGATGGTTTCTGGGTTGAAGAGGCCTACTGTGTTGGAATCCTGCAAACTACTACTGCCGCTATCTCTACAACAAGCACCACCAGCGCTGCTCAATCTTCCGTCACATCTATTACCCCTCCCGCACCAACACAGTCAGGTATCCCTGCTGACTGCGACAAGTATCACGTCGTTCAATGTGAGTTGCCCCTAGAGTGAGCTGTGGCGATGTGCGGAGCATGGCTGATGAAGATGGATCATTTGCTTCTCGACCAGCGGGTGAAACGTGCGCCACGGTAGCAGCCGCATACGGCATAACCCAAGCTGAGTTCTTCGCCTGGAACCCGGCTGTTTCGTCTGATTGCGAAAGCGGGTTCTGGACCGAGGAGGCGTACTGTGTGGGTGTGTCTGGCAGTGCAGTTACTAGGACAGCGGTGAGCACCTCAGCTACATCGGTTGTAGCCCCGGCCCCCACCCAGGCTGGAATTCCTTCCAACTGTGATCAGTACTATGTTGTCCAGTGTAAGTCACCTTCTTTCTGTCCTGTCCCTGTCTTCCATTCTTGTCTCTTGACCCCCGAATACGCGAGAGCTGAGTTTCCATTTTCTCTTGATGGGTCCATAGCGGGCGATACCTGCGCGACTGTAGCAGCCGCATACGGCATCACGGAGGCTGAATTCTTCGCCTGGAACCCTGCTGTCTCATCTGACTGTGAGAGTGGGTTCTGGACTGAAGAGGCGTACTGCGTAGGTGTGTCCGGCAGTACGGTCTCGACCACGGCAAGCACTTCGGCCACATCCATAGCAGCTCCGGCCCCTACCCAGACTGGAATACCCGGCAACTGCAATGCATACCATGTTGCACAAGGTGAGGAGATTCCCGAGCCTTCCCATCTCGTTGTTTCATGTTCTGAATGAAGGGGAGCAAGAGCTGACTTATGTTCTCTTCGTGCTTGTACCAGCTGGCGACACTTGTGCGAGTGTGGCTGCAGCCTATGGCATTACTGAGGCGCAATTCTTCGCCTGGAACCCCGCCGTCGCGTCTGATTGCGAGAGTGGCTTCTGGACGGAAGAGGCGTACTGCGTCTCTGTAGCCTGAGTGGGCTCTGTTATCGTCGAGTGGTAAGGGGGCTGTTGTCTCATGCTCAGTGGAAATATTGTTTTTCTGCGATGTTGGTCACACCGGAAAATAAAAATAAACAAACTCAGAATTTCCTAGATATAGTATACTCAGTTCTCAAATTACAGGCATGCTCATTTGGGCAAAATTTACTCAAAAATACCTCATGTGGAGCAAGCCAGGCTAGGCTAGGTCAGTCAGTCACTTCACAACCTTGAAAAAGCATTGTTTCTAGTATTCGTGGCAAGCTTGCCGCAATTTTCCCGGACAACCTTTTGGCCAGAGACTTGTGTGAACTGTCCACTGGCTTGGATTGAGTGGCGGACAGAGACTATAGATACCATATATCACTGCGGGATTTTGCCCTGCGGGGGAAGAATTTATTGTTGCTTTCTTGTCCCGAGCCTCCGAACGCGTTACTATTTCCGGACCCGCCATTGACGGCTCACTTCGTTTCTTGTAGATTTCTAAGATACATTGACTTACCGAGTCCAGCCTTTGAAAACCTTAACAGAAAAAGCCATTTGTTTCATAACTTCCGCCGGGTGAGGGCTATCCTATTGGAGGTCATGCTTTGCCGCGCTCCTTGAGGCTGGTGGGTGGGAGGGGCAGAGGCCAAAGCACAACCAGCGCCCGTGATTGACCTGCAGTCAGGCATATAAGAGGCCGGAATGGCTGAGATTACTCGAGCCAACATTAATGTTCTTAGACATGTTCTCCGTTCTCGATTACCTTATCACCTTCCATAATGGCTTCGCATCGCTCAATTCGCAATCCTACCTTTGAAATCGGCCTCATAACGGCACTGCCATTGGAGGCTCGAGCAATCATAGGGCTTCTCGACGAGCTCTACATTGGCAAGGACACTGTTGCCTATGCGCCAGATCCAGCAGACCTTAATGCTTACACAGCTGGTAGAATCGGGCGTCATGATGTTATTCTGATGCACATGCCGAGGATGGGCATCACGAGCGGGGCAGCGGTGGCGATGAATGCTTTAACCGGCTTCCCAGCTCTGAAGCTAATCTTGCTGGTGGGGATCTGCGGAGGAATGCCCCTGGCGTCTGACGAGACGGAGATCGTTCTCGGGGATGTGATCATCAGCAGGAACATTGTCCAAACCAATTTCGGACGGCAGTTCCCCGATGGCTTCGTCATCAAGAGCGATGTGGAGAGCACCTTCCGAGGACCAAGTCACAGCATTCTGTCATTCCTGGCGAAAATCGAAGCCTGTACCGATACCTGCGAGCGAAGAATGTCCGAGCACCTTGCTTCTCTTTTGGAGCTGCCAGAATTCGGCAACTCCCAGTACCCCGGTCCGATTAAAGATCGACTGTTCCCCGCAGACTACATTCACAGACATCACAATGCCCAGGACTGCGAGTGTGCGCGAGGTGACGGAGCTTGTGTGGCAGCCAGAACGGCTTCATGTGAGGAACTTGGGTGCCAGTCGGACCTCCTGATTCCGAGGCAACGGCTCCAGTGCCAGTCGGGACAGAGCCCGGTCATTCACCTCGGAGCCTTTTCTTCCAGCGATGCCGTTATAAAGTCCGGTTGGCATCGCGACCAGATTGCAAGGGCAGCAAACGTGATCGCCTTCGAGATGGAAGGCGCGGGCATCTGGAACTTTCTCCCGACTGTCATAGTCAAAGGTGTCTGTGACTACGCGGACAGCCACAAGAACAAAGCCTGGCAGCGATATGCAGCAGCGACTGCAGCAGCATGCGCCAAAACTCTGGTGGAACTTTGGAACCCATCAGTGCAGAACAATCCAGGGGATTTTGAGGACGGTGCTTCCTTCGTGGACCCCTTCCGGTCAGCCCAGGGTTCAGAACGATCTCACTTCTTCAACCCAGGATTCAGACCCATAGTTACTGAAGACCATCATCAATTTTCCTGAGGTTGCCAAAGTTGCCAACTTAATCACATCCTTGGGCTTCAGTGTCACGGTATCTCCAAACTTGTTCTCTTCCATGACAATTCCTTTTAAACGAGATTACTCGTATCGACTCCTATCGTGGTGTGTGATTGATACCATATTCTCGACGCAGCGAGGAATCGTTCCACGCAATTCGTGATAATTGAGTAAATGGTAGACATACAATAGTGACTTAGGCACAGGCTTTCCGCCAACGGCCGGCCAAATAAAATCCAGCTCCGTTCTATTCGACCTAATATTGTCTCTTGAAGCTGGCCAGAATTTGCCGATAATCTTCCGCCAAGTGCGCAGTATGCGAGGCTCTGAGCCAATGGCGCTGGATGTGGTGGTCTAATAGCGACGGACTGATGCACTAAAAGCGCGCCGGTTGAAGAACATTTAAGCACAGCCGGTCACTTCCAACCTTTTTCCAATCCCGCAAGCTAAGAGGCAGCAAGAATCATGAACCGGCCAGCCCGACAGAGGGCGTATACTCGTCGCTCCCGCACAGGATGTCAGACCTGCAAAACCAGAAGGATCAAGTGCGACGAGACCCCAGGATCGTGCAAGAACTGCAGCTCGACGGGCCGGACATGCGATGGGTACGAGACGGCCCGCCTCCCGATCGTCACCAAGAAGGGCAAATTCTATACCCCGTCCATTCACATCATTGATATCAGCTTTCCCAGCATGAGCTCTGATGAGCGGAGATGCATCAGCTTCTTCCAGACTCGCACCATGCCTATGCTGGTCAGCTTTTTCGAATGGGAAGTCTGGCGACGTCTCGCACTGCAGCTAGGTCAGGCCGAACCAGCGGTCGGACATGTGTCTCATTGAGTGCCATGCATGCAAGCTCCGAGACGAATGGTATGTCTCGGTGCAAGGCGATCAAGCATCGGACTCAACATCATCGGTTCGCCATCGAGCAATACGGTCACGCCTTGTCCACCCTTCGCCGCCGTCTGACCTCACAAGATCCGCACGTTTCCGTGATTGCGCTCGTCTGCTGCGTGGTATTCACCTACCTCGAAGTCCTCCAGGGCAACAACGAGAACGCCTGCGCCCATCTCACCAACGGACTCCAGATCCTGTCCGGCGAGAAGGGCGACGCAGCCCGCGCGATCGTCCACGACAAACTGCAGGACTACCACCACGCCGACGGGTCGCCGGCCATGACGCCGCAAACGGCCCTGCTAGCCGCCATCGCGCACCTCGACATCCAAATCCAAATCCACCGATACGTCTCGCGGCAGAGAGACACCAACGGGGTACGGGGCGCCAACCACCAGCCCCTGCGCTTCCGCACCCTCGACGAGGCCTGGCGCGAGCTCGACCCCATATCCGACAACGCGCTCGGCTACCTGACCCTCGTGCAGAGCGCCCTCCAAGACCCTGGAATCACCGATGTCTTCCCCATCCTCGTCGCGCAGCGCAAACTCGCCACCCAGCTCGAGGAGCACATCGCCGCCTTCACCGAGCTAGCGACCACCCAGCTTCGCCACCCGACCCCCAAGCAAGCCCGCTGCATGAACCTGATCCAGATGCAGCACCGCATCCTCAGAACCCACACCTACCGCGCCCTCCGGCTGTCCGAGGACGTGTGGGACGACTTCGCCCCGGACCTGATCGAGGGCCTCGCATTCGGCGAGGCCACGGTCGCCAGCCTCGAGGCCGAGTTCAGCCCCCCCAACCTACCCACCCTCGTCATGGACATGGTCATCATCCTCCCGCTCACCTGGATCGCCCTGAAATGCCGCGACCTGCCCACCCGCCGCCGCGCCGTGCAGCTCCTCCGCCGCTGGCCGCATTTCGAGGGGCCCCACCACACCAGCACGTTTGTGGCGCTCGTCGAGGGCGCCGTGGAGCTGGAGGAGGCCCGGCGCGATCCCCGCACGGGGCTCATTCCCGCCGAGGCGCTGGTGGCGGACGTCTCGGTCGTGCAGAGGGAGGGCGCGCCGCCGGTGTTGGGGTATACCCTGGCGCATCTGGGGGGACCGTATCTCGAGGTGCCGTTTCCGGTGGGTGATTGGGGGAGTGTTTAGGGATATGGCTTTGGTCTGTTATCCCGGGCGTTGTTGTTTGTAAGAAAGGGGGGTCTGGGGGTTCTCCCCCAGGATGCTGTTGTTCCTGGAGGGAGGCTTGGACGGGGTGGGCATTCTGGGGGAGAACCCCCAGACCCCCCTTTTCTTTCAGTGAGCTTATTCTGCTCTCTCTTTCCGGCTAGGCGCCACATGCTATTCTATCTGTGAAGACGTGGCTATACCTATGGGCTTGGTGTTGGGCTGCGGGTCGGTCTTTGTAAATATGTAGTTTCCTCCTTGCCATATTCCACAACCCAACGTCCTCACAGAATGGACTGAAAATCGCAACCCACAACAATGATCCATACTGACATACGAATTCTCACTGCAGAAAGTTGTTCTCGAAAATGAATCAAGCTATCAAGGCGCTTGAGGATATCTTCTCGGTCTCGATTGCCAGGCAGACGTAGGTGACTATAAGTGTCAAAACAATTGAGTTCCTACTTTTGGTCCTGGACTATATTTGCGGCTAAGGAGTCCAAATGCATCAACCGCTCGCATGGCTTAGATGGTAAAGCGCAGCACTAGTAATGCTGAGATCCTCGGTTCGAGTCCGAGTGTGAGCACGTGATATCTCTTTTTGCTTTTTCCTCGGCTGCTGCCCGCTCAGCGGACATCATCACCTCATCATTCCTCTCTTTCCCTCTCTTTCTTTTTTTCGCGGGATTGGGCTTGCTCTACATGTTGCTCAATACAACGGAGAGTGCGGATGGCTCTGTATATATGGTTGTCAATTACAGTCGCACAGCATACATGAGTTACATAGAGCACTTCGTTCATGCCTCGCGCACCACATCTCCCCCAACCGAGGCCCCGTAAATTACAGTACACTGCAACCCAGCTAGTGCACCACCTCCGCCAACCGCTCCGCTCCCTCGTAGAATCTGGGCAGCGGCTCGAGCTTCCGCCGCAGGATCCAGACGCGGAAGTGCCACCAGGCGTTGTCGAGCTGGTAGCGGGCATGTCTGCGGGTGGAGACGGAGAAGACCTGGTCGAGTTCTTCGAGGGTGAGTTCTATATCTAGTCAGTATGAACATTTTCTAATATACGAAGAACAGATCTCAAGAATAGAGGGATGGACTCCCTGCCAGAAGCGAATCCGAGGGAAAGGCAGTAGACTCACCCTTCGTCTCCGGCACGAACAGCAGCACGAGCACCCACCCGACCACGCACCAGGCGGCGTACCACCCAAATGCGCCCTGAGGTTTGAACGAACTCAGCAGCAGGGGCCACGTGAAGGACAGAATGAAGTTGAAGCACCAGGTCGTCGCCGTCGCGAACGACATTCCCACCTCCCGGACTTGCAGGGGAAATGCTTCCGCCGAGTACGTAAATGGCACAGGGCCTTCACCAGGGGAGTAAAAGACCTCGAACAGGTACATCCCCGTCGTGACCATGGCGACGCGGGCGCGGCTGCTGGGGTTGTCGGGCTCGATCCAGAAGGAGAAGCCGCACCAGAGGAGGCACAGGGCGAGGAAGGGGAAGGTGAACAATAGCAAATTGCGCCGGCCCCAGGTGTCGATGGTGAAGAAGGCCGGGAGCGCGAACACCCAGTTCAGGATGCCGGTGCCCATCGAGGCGAGCAGCGCCTGTTGGATCGAGTACCCCGCATCTAAGAAAATGGTCGAGCTGAAGTAGGCGATCACGTTGACGCCGCAGAACTGCTGCATGAACATCACGATCCAGCTGGCCAGCGTGGCGCGGCGGTTGCGCGGAACGGTGAAGAGCTCGAGGAACATGCTGAAGAAGTTGCGGCCCGTGTTGACCTGCCGCTCGAGCTGGACCTGCACGTAGGCGTAGTAGAGGTCACGCGCGGCTTGGAGGGAGGTGGGCCGGAGGGTGCGGAAGGCGCGGAAGGCCTGGTCGATGCGGTCATGCTGGAGGAGCCAGCGCGGGGACTCGGGGCAGAAGTAGACCTGGGCGCAGACGATGATGGGTAGGACGACGGTGGAGCCCAGGATGAGACGCCACGAGAGGTCGTCCGAGAGGCCCATGAAGGCCACCCCCATGATGTTGCCCAGCATGATCCCGAACGCCGTCCACATCTGCCACATCATGACTAGGGCGCCGCGAATAGGCGCGGGCGAGCATTCGGCCGCGTAGACGGGCACCGTCGAGGATTTGGACCCGATACCCAAGCCTAGGACGAACCGGGCGAGGAACAGGTTGACCCAGGAGTTGGCCACGCCTTCCCAGATAGACGCAACGGCGGCGATGAAGCAGGACCAGAAGATCGTGCCTCGACGGGCGAGGTATCGATTCATCGGCTCCGTCAGCCAGCATCCGACCGTCGCGCAGGCGAGGTAGGGTGCGCCAACGACAAGGCCAGTCAGGTAGTCTTGCATCTTCGGAGAAAAACGAGAGGACTTGATCCCGAGTTGCTGTAGAGCTATTAGTGCTCTCCTCTCCGTACTAGCTGGTATGCCTTACCTTCAAGTATATTGCCTGCGCGCCGTTGTTGACGGTCTCATCCATACCCTGGACAGCGGCAGCAAGGGAGCACATAGCTAGTTAAGAAAGTTAGTCAAAGGACAAGAACGGGCATATAGAAAATGTCTCACCAGCCAAAAAGTAAAGCTGCCATGGCTGCGACCATTTGTGAGTCTGCTCGCGCCTGAGTGTGTTCTTGTCTTCCTCACTCAGCTCGGGCAGATCGAGCGCTCCTGCTGGGTTCTGCGAGATGAGCGCTCCCTTCCGGAAGTCCTCCAGATATTCATCTAGACCATATTCACGACAGAAATTTTCAACGTCGTCCAGCAACTTCTCGCGTGGGATCCCTGCGAGAGGGTTCTCGAAAATCGCGCTAAGATGACTCGGGCCGGTAGTGCGCCCCTCCAGGTCGTAGACCGCATGTGCACCGCTGGCTTTCTCGGTGTGCTCCACCCGAGCAGTTGGACTACCGTCCTTCATGGTCTTCTTCTCTGTAATTTCTTCCGGGGTCATTGCGGTAGATGTACTGTCACTATCTTATTAATAAGGGCCAATTCCGTAACAATGTGACCGAATGAGAGGAGACTTGGCGAGCAACAGCTGTGTAGCTCTAAGTCTAGCCAAGCATACTCTACGTGTGACTCTTCGGAAAAAAAAGTATGTTTTCAGTGTAAGAATTAACCAAGAGATCTGAGATGCGGGGGATGGCCAGCCTTTTATCGAATTTCCGGAGTCAATTTGCATGATGCGGCATATACCACTTTCCTGTTCAACAGTAGCCCAGCCGTGTCCATATGCAGACTGGCTACGATGGGTGATCGTTCCATTCCATCATTAGCAGATGACCAGCGACAGATATGACGGAATCCACATGGATGAAGATAAGAAAGCTTGTTATGCTGTATAACCACGGCTGGCGACTGCGAGTTTCGGGTGCTGGTTGGTAGCCAGTTCTGCCAATCACAGCAGATGCGGGGAAGTGAAGAAGCGACCATGGTTGATATCAAATCACGGAACATGCGAATGTAACCTCGAAAATCACAAGTTTATCGGATCCCGGGGCTGAAATCCCCACGGGGATTGGATGAGATGCGGTGGATGGGAGAAAGAGAGATCGATTTAGGCCCGTCGCTTGTAGCTTGTCAATCAAGGCTGGAATTGCTGTCTGCGATGAACCTAGCCTGAGGTGGGAGTCTGCTTCGATCTCAGCTGCAGAGATTTAGGCTCGCTGGACCTCTCAATCTTGTATCCTGTTAAAATGCTTTGTCCACTTTGGAAATCGAGAACAAAGCATCGCCGACGGTCGCACAGCAAGGAGCTGTATTATTGGTAGCTGAAGTTGCATCCGACAATCGATATCGCCGTAGGTGGCGGCAGGTCAGTCCAACGTGGCGTCCCGTACCAAAAGTGAGTCCCGGGTTTCCTCCATCGGTCGCCGGATACGGTGCGTATGGGGACGGCGTTGACATCCCGACTGGAGGGAGCGCTCTAGACTCCGTGTCTGGAATGACGAAGTGTTGATGAGTGAGGCTTGAACGTGTTCAACGAGGGTAAAAAAGAGTTCGATCGTACCTTCGGCCGGTTAAGCCTGATAGTCTTTGACTCAAGGCCGTTTTGTAGGTAATCAATAAAGCATAACTAGCATGAGTGAGGGTCACCGGGAGACAACTCCAGCCTCCCCAAGCGGATTTGTGGGAGTCATCCAGCCTCTCCACAAGGGTTTCTTATCAGATAGATGGGCATGCAGTTGTTTAGGGACATTGTCCTGGTCGAGAAACGCAATTCGGTGTCACGGGTGTCTTTGTGAGTAGCTGGATCTTTGGGGATGAGGGAAGCAAGGGAGATCATGGATCGGGTCTGGAACGCTGCAAAAGGGAGGGACCGGCTCCACTAAGCCTAAATCGGTAGGACCTCGGCAACGCCCGCGCCCGCCCGTGGGGACAGATCAGTGTATGATCGATCGATCTCCCGCACTACTAGTCACGTATCAAGATGAATCCATCTCCGCTATCTGGACAGCTCTTTGCAGACTTCTTCGAATCCTTACTACGAAAATACTGCGTGTTGAGTTGAGATTATCACAATGGATTCATTTATTACCTGGAACTACGATTCGGTTGAAAGTGTCTTCTGCCCACTATGCCCAAACACTGCACGCCACTACATTCCTCAACCGCTGCAACATTAAGGTAGTCTACAACTTCACCCCGTTCGGACCCTTCTTCCGTCCAATGCTAACAGCTCTAGGCGTCGACATGGCCGCCCCGGCCCCGGCCTCCACGAGCCCTTGCCGCACCAGCCCCATCAGCTCATTCCCTGCCTCCACTTTCCCATCCTCGAGCAACCTTGCCGCAAACTCCTCGATCGTGGAGAGATGCAACTCCCCATTGGCCCTCGCCATCTCTCGTCGTGGCCGATAGTGAAATATCTGGGCCTTCTCAAACCCTTCCTTCTCAAAAATGCGGGGAAGCTCCACCACCCAGTCCTGCCGGCCGCCTGAGAATAAAAATGCGCAGAGCTGCTCCAGAGCCGGTGTCTTTTGGGCTGGGTTGACCTTGACCACGTGTGTGCCTTGATAGTTGTAGTCGTCCCACTGGATCCAGCCGCCCGGCTTGAGCATGCGGGACACCTTGCGGATGATTGGGGTTGGATCGCTGTTTTCGACCACCAGAACCAGCAAGCGGAGGTGGATCACGTCGAACTTCTCGACGAGGTCGGCGGGGATATTATCGTTCAGGTTCCATTGACGGAGGGTGATGTTGTTAGGGAGCCATTCGGGCGGCGGGGCCACTGCCATGCTCATGTCGAGGCCTTCGAAGGTGGCGTTGGGGAGCTCCGGGGCGAGATCGAGGAGCCAGATGGCTGTTCCGGAGGCTATGTCCGCGATGCATGGGTTGGGGGCGGGAAGCGACGCGGCGATGGTGGGGTGGAGATTGAAGCCGAAGGATTCTTTCCACAGGTAAAATTGGTAGTTCAGACGAGAGGCGGCTGCGTTGCTGCGGCCGAGGGAGTAGGCTCGGCCGTCGGCGAGGTGGAAGTCCATGGAGGTTGTGGAAGCCATCTTGCTGGGAGGATGAGAGGCAAAGGAGGAGATGAGTGTCGAGTCAGCTCTTGTTCTTCGGTGATTGGGGCTGATCGAGTCTTATATCGCTATGTGTCGAATGCTGGGGAGGGTGGCAAGCTGGTCGGATATATTTCCCCTCAAGATGACGTTGGGTGCAGCTGAAGAAATCATCCTTGCAATTTCCTCGTCTTTGCCCGCTGAGATCTCAGCTGTGAAAGCAGAAATGGGCTCAGCAAGCCACATACCTGTGGTTTCAAGATCCTATTATGCAAGTTCCGGGCTCAGGCCCTGCCGATCATTTGCGGGCGGACCCCCACGCTTGTGAATCTGGAGCTGCAGGTGATCCACGCTGTCAGCATGTCCAATTGTCTTGGCTGAACTGACGCCTGCATTCTCTCCATCAGCGCGTAAACGAGGGGTTGTCTGCGCGAGTCACGGCTGCCTCGAATATCCCAGCCAGCGTTGCAGGGTTCCTCAGCCAGCCATTCTAACGACTATCACGAATCGGGCAATGAACATCGATGGATTCTCAATAATATCGATTGATATCATCGGGGACATAGTACAAGGTACGAAGCATGGGTGCTGGATGTCAAGAACTGGTAGGGTGCTTTTTATGTGGGCGGTTGTGAGGAGTTCAGAAGAGAAGTAAGAACCGTAGAAAGGAAATCAAATACAGGACGCCAATCACGTGCCTGAAGTGGCACAGTACGACATCCGGGGTGGTGGGGCGGGCAACACGCCGTCGACTTGTAAACAAACAACTTCTGTCCAAGACTTGAATGCTTCCCCAAATTTGAGGCAAAGTCTCCAGCCCAGGACCCATCTGAGAGATCAATCATGCCCTGGCGTAAGAGGAGATGTCAATACTGCCAAGAGATTTATTGGAGTGACAGACTGCTTCGCGAACACTTGCAGCAGAACGTTGGCGAGTGGCGTCGTCCGGCCGACGGCATCCATGACTTCTCAGAGATCACCCAGATCTTGCGTCAGCCTCGTCAAATAAGCTACGAGGCTGCTGATTATCTGATATACAAATGCTGGACCTGTGCCAAGGTCATCAAATCTCGCCGCCGGTTCATCGAGCATGTTGCTCATCAGCGCCACTGTGGCTTCACGTACAAATTCAAAGGAGCGACCTACCGCCCGCGGCGTCCATGGCCCTTCAAATTCAGCGAGGAGAGTGTGCTTATTCGCAAGAAGACATTTCCATTTTTCCGTCTTCCTGTAGGTTAGTTGTCTCTTTGCCCCATTTCCGTGTCGCTGGAGTGTTATTGCCAAGTGTTTCGGCAAGCACGAACTGCCGACTCCTACCATTTGTACCTCCTGTGACTTTGGCTGACAAAAGCATGGCAAATGATCTAGAATTACGAATGATGGTCTACGAACATCTGCTTCATTTCAAGGAAATTGTTATTGGGCATTATCGGCATCGTGAGAACTACCCTGGTTTCTGGGAACTAGACGCCCCGCTACAACATAATCCCTGCAAGAATGCCCTGGCAATCATGGCCGTGAACCGTCAAATCTATGACGAAGCGCGGCCAATATTCTATTGTTTAAACACCTTCACCTTCAGCTATTTCGATGCTCTCCCCATCTTCCTAATTGGCGTCGGAGAGAAGAATGTCAAGCTTCTACAAAGGGTGCGCTGCAGGAAAGTCGACACGGGCAAGGAGTACGTACACATCACGAAATCATGCCTGAAAGAAATATTCATGATGGGACGAACGCCGCCCAGAGCAGAGCTCGCACTTCAGAGCGTCGCATACCTGTCAATGTCACGTGGATGTTACGACGAAGAACCGGTGACTTGGTGCGCGACGGGCAACTATCGTCTGGTCCCAGCAAATTTCTTGAAGCTGCGTGATTTTCCGCCACGAAGACGCTTCAGTCTCGAAGTTTCCCTACGGCAAAATGTAATCGGCCGACGCACTCCGCCTCGACAAATTACGGCTACATACGAACTATGCCTACAGTAAAATCAAGATGGCGCTCGAACGGAGTGTTATCTCTGTGGATTCTCGGGGCGGCAGTAGAGGGATTAGAGGTGGCCATCGCGAGGCAGAAAACCTTAGCTCCCTGATGGGATGTACGCTGTTTTCATCACGGAGAATTCCTGTGGTGCCAATAGCATGGGCTCTGAGTATAGCTAATATTGTTTGTGATCATCAAGCGAGAACCGGATGTTGCTTGGCTCAGCAGGCGTGGAGACTGCATGTCCTTCCAGAAACTTCCACTTGAGATCCCGCGACCGGGCACAATCCATCCCCTCACACGCCGAAAAAGTACCTGTTCGATTGCAACTGATAGATAATTACCTTGTTCATCTGCTGAAAGCCGCCTCGATGCCTAGCTTGATGCCTTCTTCACCACGGAAGAGAGAAGATGTGTCTGCATGGTTGAATCGTGCCTCAAGCTCGTTGTCCAGTCTGGAGCATGAAGATACATGGCATGTATCTGCAGAGTGATGCTAATCTGCAGGTCATTGGTGATGACGCGTGACTCGTGCGTAATGCAGTAGGAAGGACAAGAAATGACTAACTGAATAAGCTGTGGCCGAGCCCAGAAAAGAGCGATCAGTACCCTTTTGAGAAGAACAAGCAGGCATCTGAAGAATTACTGCGTACACATTTCCACCCAGGACCTCTGCATCGGCAACGTGCATCACCATGCTTTAGTTCTACCTGAGTGCAACCACACAACTTCGGATTTCTTTCCTGCCGAGGTATCTTGAAACGGCAAACATTTGAGCATATGGGATGCTACGGATACTGCATACCAGCACAAAGGTACTCAAGAAAAACCCATTTGCGCAGGCCAAGTGACGGGTCGAGTTGGAAGCGGGTCACGAATAAGTTCCGCTTACTACACATACTTAACTTAGTACCGAGAATGAAACGGCCAATGCTGTTTGGCTCGCAACCCGACACATCAAGAGCACCAGCCAAGCTTTAAAAATACCCCAGACCAACGGAGTCTGCCCGATCCCTGAGTTGATAGGGTCTTCAAAAGCAGTGACAGTAATAGGCGCACGCTGATTCGTGGTGGTCGTCGATCACCCTCTCAATAGGGTTCGCTTCCCTGAGATGCTGCGGATCCCAGGTACGCGGCGCCAAGACCCTGACGTTGACCGGCCAAGAATTCGGCCCTCGTTCTAGGGCTGCGGGTGCCGCTGGGATCCTGAGCTTACGTCTCCCAATCAATTCGACAACAATTTGACAAAGTCGATAGAGCAACACGGCTCACCCTGGTCCAGATGACGCGGCTATAAGGAGCGTATCTATACCATCGTTGACACCGACAATGGAGAAAGATATAAAGACCACTGCTGTCTACGTGAGGCAGAAGAAAGAGGATCAACAACCAGCTCCCCTTTCTCTCCTGCTACCATCACCACCATGCACTTCTCCAAGCTCTTTGCACTCAGTGCGGCCACTTTGGCCTTTGCTCACCCGGGTGAGAAGCATGACATGAAGGCCGTCAAGCGCGAAATCCACCTTCGCGATGCTTTGGCCGCCAGAGGCCAACAGGGTGTGAACGCTTGCTCCTCGTCTCAGGCTGCTCAGCAGGTTCAGCAGCGTAGCGTTGCTCGTCGTGCGCAGACTGCGAATGAGCTGCGCTCTAAGCGCGGAATTACCTCCGGTGAGTGAAGCATCTGTGCGTCGATGGGACCCGCCGACTCTAACCCTTGATTAGCTCCCCAAAAGTGGCGTCGTGACCTCGCGGCCCTCGAGAAGTGGGAAGCCATCAACCACAACAAGACCGGCCTTGTGCACCACGGTCTCAACGCCGACGCCGAGATCTTTGGCGCCAACACAAGCTCCATTCTGACTCCTACCATCACCGACGGCCCCTACTACGTCTGGGGCGAAGTTATCCGCCAGAATGTCAAGGAGGAGCAGTACTGCGACGGTGTCGATGTCTACCTTGAAGTGCAGTACATTGACGTGAACACCTGTCTTCCTGTCCAGGGAGCTCTGGTTGATATTTGGAACGCCAATGCTACCGGTGTCTACAGGTATGTCACGTTTACTTCGTGCATGTTCTAATTCACTAACACATCGGCAGTGGTATCTCCACCAGCGGCAACTACGCTGCCGACGGCTGGGACTCGACCTACCTTCGCGGTATCCAGGAGACCAACGAGGACGGAGTTGTGACCTTCAGCACCATCTTCCCCGGCCACTACGACGGCCGCGCCACCCACACCCACCTCCTCACCCACCTCAACTCCACCATCAACCGCAACAACGGTACCCTGCAGGTCGGCACCGGTAGCGTCGCCCACATCGGCCAGCTGTTCTGGAACGAGGTCCTCCGCTCCGCCGTCGAGAACACTTACCCTTATACCACCAACACCCAGGCTGTCACCACCAATGCTGATGATATGTGGAGTGTCCTCCAGGCGTCTTCCGCCTACGACCCCTTCCCCGAGTACATCTACCTCGGTGACAGCCTCGAGGATGGCTTGTTTGCGTGGATCCAGATCGGTATCAACACCACGGCTGATTACACCGATAACTCCTACTACAGCATCGCTGCGTACTACGATGAGACTGGTGGCCACCAGAACACTGACAGCTCTGCTTTCGGTGGTGGTGGTGGTGGCTCGGGCTCCGGTGATGCCATGCCCTCTGGCTCTATGAGCGGTGCGCCTTCTGGGTCCATGGGTGCTGCTCCTACCCAAAGTGCTTAAGAAGATACTAGAGTGTAGTTGAGCGCATGTATTGTTCATTGACAAAGTCTGTATATCATTTTAAGACTGTTCCATACACCATTCTGATAACATTAGCTAGAGTCTTGATCTATCCTTCATCGAGTATAGAACGAAGCGGTTTGGCGATCAGCAAGAGTTACCTTATGACACCCAATTCAACCACTAGATCATAATTCCCGCTGGTCCAATCACACTCGGGGATTGAAGATACGGACACCAGAGCAGTTGACATCAGATAAAGACCCGAGTTGAGGCCATATCAGCATTCGGCCAGGCAGCAAATGTTTCTTCTGCTCTGCTTTCGTCCCTTGTTGTTATTCTTATTATTTTCTCGACCCCGCTCCGTCCATGTGATGAAAAGCGCGGAGTGAGCTGACTTGCGTGGTGGCTGCGGCACCGAGGTAGGTCGGCCAGCCAAAGGTACCAAGTAAGCAGGGCCATTTGTCAGAGCTGGATGGCTGGCTGGCTGGCTGGCTGGCTGGCTGGCTTGCTTGACAAAAGAGTGACCTGGAAATCAGCAAAGTGAGTTATACAACCAAACACACCGCGTAAGTATTACTAGAACGGAAAATGGCTTCTTCTGCATGGAGGATGCTGTCCAGTACAGCGCAAACGAAGGCCAATCGAACATCGGGATTAAGCGCCTGCATCAGCACTAGAGCAAGTCAGATGCTCTGAGTCGTCACCTGACAGCGGGGGCTGAGATCGACTTTCAGCTCCGAGTCTTGTTTCAAGGTTCGACTTCCTTGCTTCCCTTTTCAGGTTTCAGGAACTCCTTCCCAACTTTGAACAATGGGCTCAGTCAATAATCCGGTGGAAACCCATGGCAACAATTCAGGATTCTGGGTGGGGATAAATCATGGCCACATTCATCTCGCCCCAGGTGCGTCGCAAAGGAGGCACAATTCGAGCGGACGTTTGCAGAGACCCATGCCGTCTGGGCAAGTGGCAGTGCCCTGATCCATGTGTGTGAGAGGGAATGGCTCTACGTGAATGGGGAAAGGATTCTTTGGCTACCTCCGCAACAGCGTGCGGCCTCTTTGGCATACAAGAAGGACACCCTGGTAATTGTCCACGAGTCTGGGAGATTCAGCATGCTCTCGTCTCTTATCTAGCTCCAGCTGAGAACTCATGATCCGCCCGTCTAGTAACTGGCGAAATCAAACGAGAGAGCCATTCTGATGCAATCGATGTATGTACAGGAACCGCTTACGAGACTAGAGGATTTTCTCAGGCTGAAGCAATTAGAACATGGGGTAGTCGGGCCCCAGCTATGCAGAGAAAGAGCGTAATAGCGAAAACCGCGACAAGTGGCCGTGGCCGCCATCCTAGCGGCATCCACATCCAATACAAGCCCACGATCAACCCCGGCTCTTACCAACCACCCACGCAATGGATCCCGAGGGGTTGATTGTGTAGGAGCGCGGCCTGTATATCAGTGTCTCAGTGTGTCTGCTCCACTAGATTACTACTCTTTCCAGCAGCGTAGCTAGAAACGTCGGAGGGGGGAGGGGAAGCGGACAGGATGCTGGGAAGAATTCTCTTGTGTGGCTGACAGCCTGTGATATGAAACTGAAATGCAGCTACAACAGGGGACATGCGGAGCTCGTCTATAAAGCAGCAGCATTCTCTGCGGATTCTTCGCTCGTCCGACTGCCAAGCCACTCACGAAGTTGACACTCTGATGGCACAGGAATAGTACAGCAACAAAAAAAAAGGGGGGGAGTGGGGGGGGGAGAAAAAGGAGAAAAACGGAAGTGTTATTCACACAACTACACATATACACAGCATTACATCTCTAATCTCTCTGCAGCCAGAGCACACGCACAAACACCATCCACGGCATCTACCTTTACATAAAATCCAACCTAATACTTCAACACCACCTCCTTCAGCTTCTCGAAATCCGGCAACCCCAGTCCAGTAACCGGGTCCCAGCCGACGGTTGCGTTCCAGAACGCCCAGGGGATGATCCCGGCGCCCGGGACGGTCTCGCCGGTCTGCGGGTCCGTGCCGTCGCAGCCGACCGACTGGCCCAAGGTGACATCGGTGAACCGCTTGCTGATATCCTTGCTGTACAGCAGCGGGTTCAGGTACCCGAGGGCGGGCTTGCCGGCGCGCAGGCGGGCGTCGTTGAGGAGACTGACCAGCGCGGCGAAGACGGGGGCTGCGGCCGAGGTGCCGCCCGTGCCGACGGTGGTGTTGCCTTCGATGACCACGTAGCTGGGTTGGGTTAGCAAGGGGTGGGTTTCTGGTTTAGATCATCGAGTGAGGGGTAGGTTATGGGGTATGGGGTATGGGGTATGGGGTATGGGTGCAGAACTTACGGAGGATCATAGCTGTGAGTGGAGACGTCGGGGAACGCGCGGCCGCTGAAGTTGGCGTACTGCGAGTAGTACTTCTTGGTGTCCTTGGCGATGTGGTGCGACAGGTACTTCTCGACCGCGTCGTGCTGGTACCACGCCTGCGGGAAGTAGTTGCTGAAGCCGCCGGAGCTGCCCGTCCAGGCGATCTCGGGCCCGTAGGACTGCGTGCCGCCGACGGCGGTCACGTAGGGGCAGGTCGCCGGGAAGGTCGGCTGGAATTGCGGGCGGTTGCTGCCGTCTCCGGCGCGGCAGGCGGAGCCGATTCCTGTTTTTCTGGCGTTAGAACTGTTTACAGAAGGAGATATGCGTGTGGGAGGAGGCGTGTCGGCTGAGCTGGGCTGGGCTGAGCTGGCTTACCTTCGTCGCCGGAGGATTCGATGATGGAGATACCGCGGAGACCCATCAGGCCGATCAGGTTGCAGACGCGCTTGGCATAGTACTCGGGAACAGTCTGGTGCGGTTAGTGAGACACACGGTTCGTGTGGCTGAGGTAGTCGCATACCTGCTCGTCATCACCGTAGGAGTTGGAGATGACCTGGGGCAGAGCCGAGTTGGGCTTCGACAGGAGGTACTCGTAGTACGGGAGGTAGGGCTCGTTCGAGTCGTCCGCAGTCGTGGGCTCATCGGGGTCGGGGATGAAAGGACTGCGCATATTAGCATGCTTTGCTATCGTCATCCGCAGAGTAGTGCAGCACTCACGCAAGACCGCCTGTGATGAAGGCAGTCACCGGAAGAGGGTGCGCAACACCGACAATCAGCTCGACATCCAAATCGGCCTCGCCGTCACTTTCGGTCGCGGGGTCTTGGTCGTTGACGCCGCCGTTGATGAGCTCGACGTCAAACTCCTGGGAGGGGAGGTGGTAGTACTTCTCGAAGCCGGCAAGATCGGAGTACGAGGCCGACTCGTTTAAGAAGTTGCCGAACCCGATCTTGCTTCCCGACGAGGCGCTAGGAGTGTAGCTGCCGAAGTTGTACATCTCCTTCAGGCAGGACAGGGTGATGCGCTCGGCGCAGGAAGAGTTGGAGCTTCTCTTGGTGTGCTGCGACGGGAGCTGCACCGTCAGCTTCGACAGCTCCGCCTGGGCGTTGTCCTTGCCGAAGTAGGTGGTCGGGGAGATCAGGTCAATCGTGTCGACCAAGCTCTCCGGAATGGAGTACTGGGTGGTGCGCAGCTTGGTGGAAGAGCCGCTTTGGTAGTAGGCAAAGGTGGTGTTGAGGAGCTTGTTCACCGTGCCGACGGGCGCAGCAAAGTTCACCATGCTGCCATCCTGCGAGATCTGGGTGATGTTGGCGCTGCGCAGCCAGCTGATGACGGCGTCGGCGCTGGCCACAGGGAACTCCTTGTTGATATCCTCCAAGTCCAGCCATTGGCCGTACTGGGCTTCACCAGGGGTGGCAAGGGCGGTGAGCTTGGCTTGAAGCTTGTCCAGGTTCTGACGATTCAGAGCAATCGACAAACTGATGGTGTTGCTTTGAGCAGCATCCTCGAGATAAGTCCAGCTGGCAGGGACGGTTGCCAGCTTCTCATGGACGACGGCTTGAGCCGAAGCCGCCAGGGAGCACAGAAGTGCCGTGTACAGGCCGTTGGTATGCATCTTGACAAGACAGAGCGTATCCCACGAGATGCACAACTGGGTTGGGGAAATGTCGGGGGAACACCGCCGTTATAAGTGCACGGGCGGGTCGGTGAGGTCATATCGCGCATCGACGTGTTTTTTTTTTTTTCTTGTCTGCATTGTTTGGTCGGATCGAAGCTGCCTGCAGGCACACCGACGGGGTTCCTTGAATGCATTTCGTAATTCGTTAAGCTAATGCAGGTGGACGGGACCTGCAGATTACTGCTATTTGTTGTGCAATTACTCAGGGCACCCCAGACAATATGGGCTCGGCTCCGTAAGCGATGTCGTGATAAGAATGGGGTTGTTTACCCTCGACCCTCACTCGGAGTCCGTCGGGGTAAATCTGCCCCGCTGGATGATAAGGGGTGTTCCTCCTCAACCGCGCCATTTCTTGCTGTTGCCTACCCTTTGCAAATGTCTTACTTGCGAGATTGGGCGACGAGGTCGGTCAAGGATGCACTATTGGGTGTTGTTGCAGGCTGTGAGCAGCGTTGCTTTCTTGACGATGGATGGTGCAATGGCCAGCAAAACAGGGTCATTGGCGAGAAGGAATTGTCGGCAAACTCGCATGAACTAGCCAAGGCGAACAAGCACGGCGCCGAATGCTTAACCTTTCTTGACTATGGCGTGGTTGCGATCGGCGCAATTCCTTCTACTCCAGTTATCGGCGCCGCCAGTTCCGGGGCAGTGGGTCGCATTCCCTCGGCCAGCCACATGAGTTGAAATTCGGGGAGACACGAGGTGCCCGGTTTCTAGGCAGCAAGCGTACATGAGGCGAGGTTTCCATTTTTCGTGCCTCTATTCATTTGGGAGCGCTTGAGTAAGCACAGGACTTGGCCTCTCATATCAACTGGGTCCCATAGCTCAGTTGGTTAGAGCGTAACGCTAATAACGTTAAAGTCGAGGGTTCGAGCCCCTCTGGGACCATCTTTTTGCATCCCTGCATACTTCCTGGTGCGCTTTGCCTTTGATTTTTGTGTTTGGAGCGCCATCATCGAAGAAACAGACGACTGGCGATGCGTGTAGCTTCGGTATGTTCGGATGGTGTTGCTGCTCTGTTTCAGTTCAGCTCACTCTGGGTTGCCGGACGCTCTCGAGTGGTACTTGTAGTTGTTTATCACCAATGTCCGGTTGTGATATATATCTTGCCCAAAGGGCAGGACAATGCCCGTGCGCTCGTTGACATCGAATGCCAGTTCTACACCGGTAGGAAGAAGAAGCTCATTCAAGGATTGATTCCTATTTCATCGGTTGTTAGCATGGTCTTTCCACAAATATGAAGTGCTGTGCTCATTCTCATAGACGTGAATAATGTCCACGCCCACAACTCTTGAGGCTCTCCACCCATCGCGACGGTTGTAGTTGACATGTCGCATCGAAAGGGGACGAAACGGTGATGAGTGATGGTCTTGCCAAACAGACTAAACAAGACAAATGACGCCAACCAGACAAAGACCACAAACTCCCAGGCACATGACCTTTCCTACCATTTCACTTTCTCTTCTACCGTCCTTTTCACCCGCCTCATTCACTCACTCTGACACCTTACTGCATACTTCTACTCAAGAGACTCCACCCCAGGACACCTGGATTTTACAGCCGATATGGGTCTTCCGCTTGACTCTTGCCAATGACAAGAATGAAGAAAGTCATCGGCATATCATGCAGTCGATGAATGATGATGCAGTGAACCCGAGGTATCGCCTGGGATTAATCAGCTTGATATTGACTAGAAGCTTCCTGTCCGTCGGTACTCTTCCCCTGGCTTTCCAATTTCCGCAAAACCTGCAGAGTGGCATAGTAACTGAAAGGCAGTGCGAAGAACCACAAGCCACAGTTGATACTCGCTGTCGCAATCAGCGCGGTCGGAACAGCCTGGACGCCAAATCCCACAGCCACACCAGCCGTCTCAATGCCCCTCAGCAACGAGCTGTAGCGGATTTGATCGCCTGGGGAATCAGACAGATTGCCGATACACCAATAGATATAATTCTCAACAAAGCCAAGGCTGATGCGTTCAAAGAGGTACAAGCCAAACCCTCGTCCGAATGAGCGCTGATTGCCCCAATCCAGAACCGGCTGGGTATGGCGATACTCGTTTTGAATCACCACAGCCCATACCCAGGTAGTGCTGTTCAATGCAGCGATCAGAATATATGTGAAAATAGCCCGCGTCTTGCGGCTTTCCAGCCATGGTAGATCAACCAGTGACCCCCCCAACCAAGTAGCCAGTGTGCCTACGATAGCGGACAGTAAGCTTCCCAGAGCTCGCGACCGGACGGTGAAATAAGTCGCGAGATACGTGCCCGGATACGCCTGAATCCAGCCAAAGTACCAGAACAGTGGCACAAGCAGCAAGATCGACCTGCTACGTATTAGTCGCCACATGATTCGACCTTCCTGGCGCCACTCAATTCCGCGAGGGGCTTCGATGCGTGTTCCGTCGTCACGTTGTACCATCTCTGGATTCGATAGCAGGGGACCGAAGACCAAACCGAGGCACTGAATGGCGATGAATCCAAGATACGTCTGGTACCCGACTTGGCCTTTATGGTTGACGTCGTGGTTAAGAGCAAGTGAAATTGCTCCGCCAATGATGTTCCCAAAGTTCCGGAAGGTAAACCACGTTGCTAGGTAGCGGCCGCGTTTGTGCTGCTCAGGGTAGCCGGTTGCTATGGCCCCTTCGACGCTCCAAAAGAAACCTGCACTGATGCCACAGGCCACCGAGCCGAAGTACACGAGCCAAGCGGCACCCGTGCGGTTGTTCAGGTATAGCCCTGCTGCATACAGCGGGTAACCAATGGAACCAAGCGTGAGGGTCCAACGAAACCCGATGAGATTGGTCATCCATGGACCTGCAAAGCAGGTAACTGTCATGAAAGCATAGAGGAGAGCGTTTGCGGCATTGACGAGATTGGGACTCTGGGAGCCGCCCACCCCGAGGCCATTCATGGCGCTCCAAATGCCAGGGGCACAAAATGCGCAAAGTCCGACGACGAGGATTTGGAAGAGCGTGCTCCGGAAGAATCGGACATGGGTTTGTTGACGCTCGTGTTGCGAGTCGGACATACTTGCTATGTCGGCCATGATTGCTTCCTGATCCACTTTTGGAATTGTCGCCATGATTAACAAGTGCGAGAAAATTCTAGGTCGCTGTCTCTTTTGTCTGCTCTAGCAGATGCAAGGGGCTTGACTTATGTCTGCCAACACGACGATGGTTTCTATCGGGTGCTTGGTCACGTAACCGTGGCCATGCATGGCACAAGCAAATATACCCCTCAGCACATCTTGGCAGCGAATGATCCCGGTCAGGAGCACATCAACACCAATCATTGCAGCTCTTCGTTTCTCTGTGACCCTGTGAGATAAGAGACCGAATTTACCCCGCTTGTTGCTGGATGAGCTAGAGATTGCGACTCAACTCTTGCCTACATTTTCATCAACCAAATTGTCTTGAAAGGCTGCGAATTCAGCGAAAATGGCCAAGGTCACGGAAGAATTTCAAATCGGCGAGCTCTCACTCGACGGGCAACCGCCACGAGATTTAATCAGTTTCGAGTCTTTCGAGCTCTCTGCATCTAATCAGCGTTCACTTGGGCCTCCCCACCCACAAGGAACCGTGATTCCGCTTGCCCTGCGTCCTACCCTGCACAGCACTTCTGAGATTACCCTTGACAGTATTATCGCCACCATCGAATCTCTTCAGAGACAAGAGAACAGTCTTACGAAGCAACTCGCACGCCACGGAACCATCCTCTTCCGCGACTTGCCTATCCGCAATGCAGAGGACTTCAGTAGATTTGCCCACGCTTTCGGCTATAAACCACATGAAATTATCGGGATTGTGGTTGATAGACCCCTTCTTGCGCCTAACGTGGCACCGGCCAATGAGGCACCCAAAGAAGTTCTCATCTACAACCACAACGAGTCTCCACAAGTCCCTCACGCACCCGAATACGTCTTCTTCTATGGCCACCGTGCACCCAAGCAAGGTGGTGAATCGCCAATCTCCTCCTCCCTCGAGCTCTTCAATCGCGCTCAACGCGAGATCCCGGAGTTCATCGACGAGCTGGCTGAGAAAGGCATCCTCAGTCGCGTGACGTATAAAGTCGAACAGCAGTTCGCAGGCGGCTCGACACTGCGTCAGGCATTTGGAAAGGAGTTTCAACCGGGTGATGACGAGGAAACCAAGCGTCGCAAGGTAGAGGCGCAGATTGCGCGCTACGGACGAGGAGGATACACCACCTGGGAATGGTCAAAAGACGACGACGGCCAGACGCAGCTGGTTCTCACGCACCGCCTCCCTGCCATTCGAACACAGCCGGGGACTAACCTTCCCACGCTCTTCACGGGTCTGACGGCATATTGGAAGAGATGGCAGGTCAACTCGGGTGCACGGAGAAATGACACGCAGCAGCTCTTCGGGGACGGCACGCCAATTCCAGACAAGTATCTGGCGCACTTGGCGAAGATCACGGACGAGATCCGGGTACTGCATCGTTGGGAGAAGGGCGATGTGCTGGTGTTTGATAATATTGTGGCGCAGCACGGTCGGGAGCCGTGGCAGGGGGAGCAGTCGGATCGCGTGGTCATGGCGAGCTTGTTTGATGGGGCAGCTGTCCCGGGGGCGTATGGGTTTGGGGACTGGGCCCAGGTGGTGCAGGCTGCGGAGTAGTTCTAAATTTGATGAAGTGAGTGGGGATGCGGCATGCATGCCATAAGTCTGAGTCTGTTGTAGTACAATTCTGTGTTAGCTCCAATACCGAGCTTCTGGTGGAACATGAATTACCGGATTAGGCAATCCTGCCTCCGGGCCCCGGTTATCTACAGACTACACATGACTTGCACGATGCGGCGCATCTAGTGATACTAAATAGGCGTTCCTGGCACAGAGTAAGGTATAATCTGTCAGCTGCGAAACGATACCGTAGGATTCAAGTCTATTTGAACTTAACACAATCAAAGCGTGGTATGATCCCGAACATCGGCTGCGGAGCGGTATTACCCTCTTGACAAATATTGCTTGCATGCACCGCTATCATATTCTATCTATTGCCTTTTCAAAGAGAGTATGATTATTCAAGTTGCATGCCAACAATACTGCGTGCCGCGACCCGCTGCAGCCATAGTCACCTTCCCACAAATGAGGCGAGCAATGGCTAACAATAGCTTCTGTCCCCATAACCACGATCTAGACCATCGTCCACCATCTTCATAAATGAAGACCAGACATAAATATCACCAACAATCCTCCCAAATCACACCTTCATCAACCAACAACATCTTCGAATACAATCATCTCATCCCGTCTCATCAAACCAAACCAAGACCCCATTGCCAACATCAAAATGAAGACCTCCACCATCCTCGCCATCCTGGACGCCGCCTCCTGCGCCGTCGCCATCCGCTGCACCCAGGGCATGACCTACTGCGGTACCTCGCTGGTCAAGAAGGGTAGCCCCTCTCCTCCCCTGCTCAAACTCGAGGATAGCATAAGCATCAACACATGCACACACAAACACACACAAACCCAGAACCCAAGCCATCTACATATTAAACCACCAACCCTCCCCAAGCCCTCATTTCCCGATTCTCAAGTATGTGCAAGCTAACAAACTTTTTTCTTCCCCTCTTCGGATGGAATAGGCAACTATACCCAGGACATGCAAACCGCCCTGCAGCGCGAAGGGATCGCCCCATCCTCCCACCAGTTGCTGGATTCACTGTACCTCTGCACCGCCGACGAGGACTACCTGATTTACCGGGCGACGTGCCGGCGCGGCGTGTGCCAGGACAACGGCGTCAACCGGGATGATATCTGTATCGGGACGGAGGAGCTGCCTGAGGAGCAGGGTCTGGATCTGGATCTGGATCAGGGTCAGGAGCAGGAGCAGGAGCAGGATTTTGGTATGGGCCAGGACCAGAATGCCCAAAATGCGGTGAGTTCGAGTTCTATTGGGTGAGAGGTGGGGTATCATGGGGTGTTTGTGTGTGCTGATGTTGATGCTGATGCTGATGCTGGGGGTGGTAGAGGCCTACTACTAGTGTCACCTTTTAGGGAGTGATATTGGGATGATCTTTTGGGTTAGAGAAGGGGGTGGGAGTGTTATGCGCGGTTGGTATGGATGTGGTAACGGGATGGGGGGAGGTTTAGGGTTGGGGATTAGGTGGTGGGTTTAGTTTAGTTTGTGGCTTAGGGACTCTTGGGTAGCGCATAGCAGAATGGCATCGGGTTAATCCGGAGTTCTGCGCCGTAGGTGCATTTCTGTAACTCTTGAATTTGTCGAACACGGAGTCGTCTGTGCTATCAAGCTAACCATCGCAGCAAGGATCTCCACGACATCAACCACCACAACCCCATCACCACGAATCAATCACCACCGCACCAGGGATCTTGCCACACCTAAGACCACATCAAAGAAGTCAAACTTCCAGGAATCACCGCTCCGGAGAAAGAAACCCATCCGGCAAATCAGCCCGCCACGCAAACGGCTCCCCAAAAGTCTCATCCTCCCCGACGACAATCCGATACGTGACCTTGGCAAACTCCTGAGCCTGCGGGGCCAGAGCCGGCGCCACCTTGCGATATAAATGCGCAAACGTCATCCAGCACCCGACCAGCCCCTCCGTCACAACTCCCCATTTCTTCACCCACAGGCGTCTTCCACCCCCGCCACCTCCCGAATAACACGGAGGCAGCACGCCTTCTACAACATAGCCCAGCGCCTCGAGCCCCTTCACTGCACTCTCAATTGCCTTGCCCGTGTTATTTTGCCGCGCCCAAAGCAGCGCCAGCAGTGGATATCCCTTCTCCAGCACTAGACGGAGCACTTCCGCCGCGGGTCGGACCTAAGTGCTAGCGATTTTGTTGATAAGACGCTCCTCGAGTTTCGTGGGATCCGGGACTCCATCCCTTTGCATCGCCAGCACGACTCCCAGCTCCCGCAGGAGTTGACGCCGTCTGTGCAGGTTGTCCGCGGGGGTCGCCTCGTGGTCGTTGCACAGGATGCAGGTGCACCGGAAGCCCCATTGGCGGAAGTTCAGGGCCGGCGTGCTATCAAGATCCCGGTCGAAGCAGCACCCAATGCTGTGGACGGTGCGATACATGCCGGTGACTTCCGTGTCCGCTGGGAGGTCCTGGGCGGCGCGGACGATCCGCATGTCGCCGATGAATGCTCACTCCGCGGTGCTGTGGTAGGAGTGGTCGATCCGAGAGATTAAAGGCCACACGCCACAGGAAACGACGTCGGCCTTTTTGGCGGCGACGCGCCCATCGGAGGCCCAGGCCTGACGGTGCTCCTCGCGGCGACTGGATCGGTCGTTGAAGAAGGCGTTGGTGGCGATGATTCTGTCGAGAAGGAAGCTGGGGTGCCGTATATACTTGGTCAGCCTGGCGTACGCCTCCCCCTCTCAGCGAGGAATAAGCTCACCTATCCACCACCGGTGTGTTGTCCACTTCGCGCACGTCAACACTCTCGTATTTTCCATGGTGCAGCGTGATGATTCCTGGTATCAGCGACGGGTTCTTGAGAAGCTTCTGCGTCATCAGTCTCAACAGCTCGATATCATTTGCAGAGCTGATCCTCTCGCGTTCCGGGTCGACCCGCGTTCTCAGACTCTTGCTGAAGTCATGCAGATTCACCTGGGCGTAGGCCAGCGCCTTTTCACAAACCAGCAGATCACCGGCTTTGACGGCCGTGGTCGTGAAGAGTCCCAGCCCAGACGACTGTGCCGGGCGCACGGCGACAGGGCCGACGTAGGTGGCGCGGTCCAACAGCGGCGGGGAGCACCTCGTGGCCTCGCGCTGCATCTCCTGGAAGGGAAACGTCCCCGTCCGCTACTCTCCGAGCCGGGCTTTGCGGGACAGGGCTTTCTCCGAGGACTGGGGGAGTGGTTCTAGATCGCGAAGGGCGGCGTCAAACTGATAGGATCGGAGGAAGGTCAGAGCGCGGTTGAGCTTGATGGTCAGGGCCTCGTCCGGTGTGGGTGAGGATGATAGAGCTTGAGTGTAGCTGTCCTTGGTGGTTAGCTTCTGTGCGCAGGAAACTGTAATCCGCGTGTCTTACCAATCGATCGCACGACGATATTCCCCGGCATTGAATGCATCATTTCCTTTCGTCTTCCACTGCATGGCATCCAGCTCGGACCCGACCAACTGTCGGCGCCACTGCACAGGCACCATGATATCCCAATCCGACAGAACGCGCAGGTCAGAAGGATGATCCACGCGGATCGCACAAGGGCTAACACCAGGAACATGCAGATACGGTTCAACCACAACCAGCACCGTCCCTTCAGAAAATCCCCCCGAGCGAAGACTTCGGTCTCCTGGTTATGCAGCTGCAGCATGATCACATTCCCCGCCTCGGCTTCCGCGACAGCTCCCACAGCGACGAGGAAGTCGGTTGGTGTCAATGTCCGTAGAAGAATGTACTGCCCGCGGTGGTGGGTTTCGAGCTTCAAGTTATCGACCATGATCTTGGTGAGGTGCTCTAACGGGGTTGTGCAGGGGGCGTAGGCGGGGGAAAGGGGAAATGAGAACATTATCCCCTCTGCTTAGTGGTGTCCCCGAACCTTGAAGAGTTGAAAGAGCTCGGCACGAAGATGCTTGATTGAGGGGTACTCCTCGCCTTTATGAGACTGGGCGAAGTCGTACAGGCGTTTGTGTTTGTGGAGGAAGTGGGCGTCCAGGGAATTCTTTATTCCTCGGGATTGGAGTGATGACATATTGAATGTGAGAAGTCAGGGTGATAGGAGGATTTGAAAAATTTACAGGATCGGGGTAAAAATAACGATAGAGATGGGATGGGGAGAGAAGGGTGGAAGGGTGAAGGGTGATAGGAGAAAGGAGGAAGACGAGTGTGTGTTGTCGATAAAGTAGTTGTTGTGGTGGTGGTGGTGGTGGTGGTGGCTGTTTGGCGAAAGGTAGCACATCCAATATTTACAGTGAGTTTCAACTCCACTTCACATGAATGCTTACCTCGTTCCAAGATTACCAGACCTTAGCTCCATATTTTTACCAGGAATCCAGAGACTACAATATTGTTTGAAGCTAAAGCATTGTTTTATGCCCCAAGTACAGTACAGTGCATGCAACCCCTGACGTTTTCCAGTTAGAGAGATAAGATGCTGATAACTCGGAGAGCAGATTCCTATACACGAAGTCACCAGTGAGCAGTCAGGTTTCCGAATTCAGATCTAGTCTTATTCTCGAAATCCAAAGGTCGAACCTCTTGTACGTCGAGAGCATACACTGTCATGGGATTATAAACTACCCGACTCAAACACTGTATGAAGGAGCGTCATTTGATCATGTATTAACTGCGGTAAACCGTCTTCATATCTCCCATTTGGGTGTGAACTATCTGCGGGATTTTCGTCTACTACCGTCACTAAGAACCAAATGGCGGCTACGTGAAAGCAATATAACCGGAAACTCCCGCATACTACATCATCACCACAACCATATTCTTTGTGCAAGATAAACTGCACCAGAGAACCTCCAGGACCTTTAATACATCGAAGGATATAAAATACCTTCCAAATCATGCAGACACCCTTCTCATCACTAAACTCCATATTCACAGGATAGCCGGTAAGTGCCTTACCTCCCAAAACCCCCACCATGACACGCCCAATCTACTTCCAGCGCATCGTCGACGCCCTGGAACAACTCTTCCCCCCGTCCAAGGGATACATCTACAAGCGTGGCTGGATCCCCAACCCTCTAACCCAGGCAGAGGATCTGACCCTCAACGAGGTCCTCGAACTCTCGACCCCGGGGTCCACCACGTTCCTGGTGGTGGTGGGCGGCCACGAGCGGCCCCCGGAGAGGAATGCTTTCTTATGGCGGCTGAACCATCTGAAGATGCTGGTTCCCGACAGCGCCGGACGATACCTGGACTTCGAGGGGATTGTCATCGTTGGCAAGAAGTGTCGGTTCTACTCGCAGCATTGCGCGCAGCGGCGACGGATCTTGAGGAATGATCCCCGGGCCCTGCATGCGCGGAATCGGCGGAACGAGTACCGGATTGTGGGGGAGATGTCGGAAATCCATCAAATTCTGGAAGAGTTCAAGGTCCTGTGTCAGAAGAATGTGTTCTGGGTGGCACCGCCTGGAGTGTCGCCGGTGTCGCAGTCTGGCCTGCAGTAGGAAGTAACCTTTGCCTGCTTTGTAGGTTTGTAGGTCTCTTTGTTTCGTAGATGGGATTCATCTGCGGAGCCTTATGAGCACCTCCTTTCTATGTTTTTGTTCAGGTTTGAGATTTTGGGCGGTCAGTTCGGCTCAATACCTCCTCTCAATTTGACCTGCTGCAAGACATTTGTAAAAAGTTCAATCTTATTTTCAAGCATCCCTTCCGATGTCCGGATCTTCCATGTGCATTGTATCGACCTTGTTATATGTACTCTCGCCTTTCACTCTCTCAACACACTACCATGATGAATGAGCTTGTACTCGGCTGAGTTGGTAGTCTTCATGCTGCTACGTCTTGACTATTGCCGATGCTCTCGTAACCAACAAACACTTTCAATTGAACCTGACCAACGTTAGCCTCCCAAACCAAGAACTCCATCCAATCACTAAATCAAAAGATAACACGCATACAGCGAAAACGAACAAACGCCTCCCCGATCCCCACCCCATAACCCATCCAAACACTCCCAACCTACCCCCCTTTAGCTCCGTAGCC